TGCACGAGGCTTGCTTTATTGGTATGAAAATCAATACATTTACCGTCTATACCTCTAATAAAAATATTAATAGGTACTAACAAAATGTACAGAAATACTATTTCTATCACATGTGTAATTCTTGTATTAAAATTTTTTAACAAAATAACACCAGAAATTCATACCCGAAATTCTACAACGGCAGACTTGGTTAAAGTCGTGTGTGTCCTACATATCTGTATAATTACATTCCCGCGTGCTATGTGAGTCCAGTACCATAAGTAATTCAGTTATATACCGCAATACCGCTTGTACCGCACACTTTAGGCACATCACCGCCTGTGGTACTTACACAGACCACATCTAGCGGTTGCTACGTACTACGTTAATATTATTTTGTAAGAAATACTTAATATATGAGCGCATACTTACCGCATAATTTTCTGTCTATTTTTTTTTTCTGAAAAGAGCACATACCATATTATTATTATCCAAACGACCGTCCAAATGCAAAGTCCAAACAGAGAAAGAATTTCAAAAACCAAATGAAAAAAAATTATTATGTAAAAATAAAACCGCGTTCTTATTCTAAAAAAATACAAACACTGGCCACTTTTCACAAAAAAAACATAAGATGTCATAAAAATATTTTTTGTTTTATTTTTCTTCTGGTAATTTTATAGCTGCTTCTTTGAATTTTTAGCTAAAATGGCCAGTACGTGACAGCTATTAAAAAATAATACTTAAATACAACCTTTTTACAATAAATTCGCAGAAAGTAGTAGGTAGTTGTTGATTTATTGTCTGTAGTTCAATAATAGTTACAATCCATTTCCCGCGCAACGCTTTTTCTATTATTAATAATGGAAATGATTGTCAACTTTTAACATTTGTAAAAAGCCCTACAAAATGTTACAAACTAAGTCGGCTATTCAATGCCGATGATAAATTGCGGCAGGCCGCATTATAATCCGGTGTAAGAAAGTAAATTACGGCTAAGTGACGTAGGTGGAAGCGCGGGAAAAGTCGGCTCCTTCATTAGCCGTGTTCTGATGCCTGTACGGCTAACGACGGCATTGCATGTCTATTTACCGAGCATAGGAAGTACAGGTTACGACACAAACAAGTATTTTCGTGGAAACAATCGTTTATTACGGTGAATGGTAGGGAAACAATTAAATACTCGCATGGTTTAGCTAACTGAAATGTAGCTTTGATGTATTGGTGCATTTATTACTTGTTATTGTTCATAATAATGCGCTCGTGGTTTTATTTTTATCGTTAGTTCTTTGCTTTGAAATCATTATACGTAATTGATTGGATATTTTGAATTCCAAATATTTCGTATCAGGTTTTTGGTAATATGAAAGAGAAGGAAATTGAGATAGAATGACTTTAATAGAATAGCGTACGAAAAAACATACCTATAGCACAGACCACAAACAATTTTCTAATTATATTTATACCTACTTATGACATAAAGCTGAAGTTTATTTGTTTATTTGAACGCACTATTCTCCGGAACTCCTGGACGGAATTGAATGTTTGTATCGGATAGTCAATATTTATCGACGATATAAAACATCACGCTTAATAAATAAACCCCAGTAATAGGAGCCGAGTAGTGCCGGTGATACCGCGCCAGAGTCGCTATTTTAAAATAAGGTCATGCTAATAATGACAACGATTCCAAACACGTGCTCGCCCCACCGTATAACAAGTAAGATAACACTTCGCAACTCATAAATACCCGAGTGATTATAACATCTCGACTTACTATGCTAATTAACCTGTAGAATATGATGCCATATGGTTCCATATGTAGAGGGGTCGAAGGCGAACCCTTCAAGTACCTCAACGGTTAAGGGATTATAAAGGCAGGTTGGTATAAGCTACGTACGTTAGGTGTAACAATATTTGGAACTAGTTTCTTACTTTGTCGATTAGTTTTAATTAAATAAAAAGATTTTAAGTGTGGGAGAGCCATGCTTCGGCACGAATGGGCCGGCTCGACCGGAGTCATACCACGGCCTCACAGAAAACCGACGTGAAGCAACGCTTGCGTTGTGTTTCGTCGTGTGAGTGAGGTTACCGGAGGCCCAATTACCTTCCCCTTCCCCAATCTCCCCAATCCCTGAATCCCCAACGATCCTCAAACTCCTAATCCCCAAAAATCCGGTGACGGCGACGCCGCTTGCATACCATCAGGCATATGCCATAAAAAAAAATTTGTTTGTTTTTTATATGTAAGGCAAGGATACACTAGGGGACAATGGCACGACATGTATTGGCGATATGTCAAACGATGCACGCTGATTTAACATTTAAGCTGATATATAAGGCGACAACGCGCGGCTCATCTCCACTGCAACGTTGATGTTGCCAGACACATGCATCAAAGTAGGGGCTCGTACACAAAACTGCGATGCGGCGAATTCGCAACGCAAAAAATTACGATGCGAATTGCTGCGATGCGATTTCGTGCGACAAGGCGTCTCCCAGTGTGACCATTCCTGCGACGACCGTCAACCGTACTAAACGTATTTTAATTTTTTTTTATTGCGTCTGCCGTAAACGTATGATGGTAAGCAATCGGCGTCGCCCATGTACACATTGAACACCAAAAGCGTTACAAGTGCGTTACCGGCCTTTTTGGGATTAGAAGTTTGAGGATTGTTGGGGATTCGGGGAATGAGGAGATTGGGGAAGGGAGGAGGGAGCTGGGCCTCCAGTAACCTCACTCGCACGACGAAACACAACGCAAGCGTGCCGGTGATCAAGCCGGCCCATTCGTGCCGAAGCATGGCTCTCCCACACTTATTGAAATACACACAAATTGAAAACTAGGTCATGACATGAATCGTAAAAAGAAGTGTGCACTGCTGTTATTGCTTAGGAGATACAGGAAAAAGAAACAAAAAAGATTTTGGGAAGGTAAGATTTTGATGCGCGATGCAAATCAATTCGCAATTTCTTGCGATGCGTAGAGGGAGTTCGCACATTTCTGCGATGTGACGTCGTATCGCAGTTTTGTGTACAAGCCCTACATCAACGTTGCACTGCTTTACCCGACGTCGCTGGCAATACGTGTCGCAGGACATTTCCCCTAGTGTATCCATGCTTCAACGTCAACAATTTGTGACAGACCACTATGGTTCTCCTCTATACTATAAGAGGGTTTTTCATTATCTCCAAGCATGGTAGGCAGGTTGGATGTCGCAGAAATGCTTAATATATACAAATGGAGTGTAAAATCCAGACACGGAAAAGTAGCAAAACAGTTGTAATAAATAAATGTAAACAATGATAAAGAAGTATTATTATTTTTTCACAAAAGACCTTTCTGTGTTCTGTTTTTTTTTTTATTTCCCGTTTTTCGCCTTTAAAGAGGTCAACGACCTACTTTAATGGAAGACATTTTTAAACAAAAATAAACTTGGAAATAAGAAAACAAAAACCAAACGCATAATTTTTAACATGGCGCCTTCAATCTTTAATTTTTCTTTTTGAAAGTATTAATCATTACGTCACTTGTAATGATGTTCTTGGAGGAACGACACGCGAAGCCTTATAATTTATTTTAACAAAGTTTGTTAACAAAATATTGAAAATGTTAATACATACAAACAACTCGAAGGATATTGTGGTTGACCTCTGCGGAACTTCGTAAACTGAAAAGTTTTATGAACGTCGTAAGTTGAATCGTTTCCTCCATAAGTCAGTCTAGATTATTTTCTTCATTATATACCTACTTATTTCTTGACTAAACCTATTCTACTAACTTGGGCGACTAAATACGCTGTTATAAATCTCCAATTTGGCCTAGAAAATGATCTAAGTATACCTACGTAATAAATATCTAAATACGACTTTATGACGAAATAAAACACACAATAATCAATGAAGTTGAATCCACAAAATTTCTCGGTATAATAATTGACAAGAAATTGAATTGGAAACATCACATTGAGAATTTAAGCAAGAGACTAAACTCATCTGCGTATGCACTATACAAACTTGCACCAGTGCTTAATCCTGACGCTCTAGTGACAGCGTATTATGGATTGGCTGCATCAGTGTTGCGTTACGGTGTAATTTTCTGGGGTAATTCTACAGACAAAGAAATTGCATTCAAGTCCCAAAAAAGATGCCTTAGGGCCATGTTTAACCTAAAGTCAACAGAGAGCTGTATGCCTATCTTTAAAAAATATAAAATACTAACTCTACCATCTCTTTATATTCTTGAAACTGCGACTTTCGTAAAAACGAATCCTGATCTTTTCCCACGTCTGTCTGACACTGTGCCTCGGAATAGACGGGATAACAGCAGACTTCGCCTGAAACCCGCTAGGACTGCTCTTATGCACAAAAACGTTTTTTGTATGGCGCCAATAATTTATAATAAAATTCCACGGGATTATAAATGTTTAAACACCAATATGTTTAAGATAAAAATGAGACGCTTACTAGCAGAAAAGTGTTACTATTGTTTGAATGACTTTCTGGCTGACACTACTTTTTGACACTGTATGAATAAATGTAGACCGTAATAATATTTAATAATACTTTTTTGACATCTTAATATGAATTGTAATTAATATAAATTGAATTTGTACGCCCCTAAGGGCAAAACATGTATTGGACACTGATTTTAAACAATTAACATCTTGCATGCTTTTGTATGAATGACACATGTTTATGCAAATAAATGATCTTTATCTTTATCTTTATCTTTATCTTTAAAAACTTCAGAATTGATGAAATCGAGGGCAAATTGGGAGATGGTTTGACTAACATAATCACTACTAGATCTCTATTAAAAAAACGAAATCAAGGACAAGAATTAGCAGCATTTCATAAAATACATCAAAACACAACCTGATTTATTACATAAACACATATATATACAACATAGAACAATTAGTAAATATGACTACGGAATGTAAAAACCACCAAATTCCTACCCATACGAATTTAAACTCTAACAGAATCCAAACTAAAATCAATTTTCTTTATTCCAGGTACATTTTCCTGGCGATCTACACGGCGGAGATGATAATTAAGTGTATAGCTAAGGGTTTCATATTAAATAAGTACACATACCTACGGAATCCGTGGAATTGGTTGGATTTCGTCGTCATCACGTCAGGGTACGCCACCATCGGCATGGAGGTGGGCAACCTGGCTGGTCTGCGGACCTTTAGAGTGCTAAGAGCATTGAAGACTGTTTCTATAATGCCGGGTAAGTTATTTTTTAGAATATACTTTGTTGTATCTAGATAATTTAGATCAAGGTTAAATGATTCTTTGCCACAGACTAAATTAAATTTAACTCTGAATTATAAACGTTAGATTTATACATTATGCCTAAGTGCATCGTTGACCAAAGGTCGACTCATTTAATTATTTGGAAAGTGATTTTATATGTAAGGCTTTCCAAGTCGCTCAATATAAATTTAATTAATGAAAATCCACAAAAAGCTTTCCGGTATTAACCATTTAGCTTAGCGTGTTTTTCTTAGCTATATACAAACAAACAAAATTCTTAAACAAAACTTCTTCCCCTTCTGACACGGGGAATCTTCCTAAACAAACGAGGGAGTGAGACAAAGTATTCTCCTTTTATAAGAGTGAGAGAGACAACACGAGGACATCGAAGACTGTTATTTAATGAGTCATTAAACCTTATCTTACTTATTAAGGGTCTCAACGGCAAACTTCAAGATTGGGATCAAAAGACAGTTAATGAAGATGTGGCCCAACAGAGATTTTTTCTTAAAAAAAAATAAGGCTTTACACTTGATACTTATTAAGAGGGCATCTGAGTATTTTTTTCTTCTTCTTCTTGAGTAGCAACCGAGATCTAAATCTCGGATCTCTTAGATAGATAATGGTGATTATAACGTGCTCATGAGAAAGCTCAAAAATGAACATACAATATTGTGCCACACACAAACATCACACATAATATACGAACATAATTGTTAGTGATATTTATTAAATTATCACAAACTGAAAGCATCGTAATGAAAAATCTCAAAATAATTAAAAAAGTTCCAATATAATGTCTGTGTAGGACTATTACGTCGTGATCGAAAGTGGACGAGCTGGTCAACAGAGCAGACAAAATCCTGATAAAAATATTTAAGTATAGCATTATATCTATACGTGAATAAACGTGTACGGTCTCCTCTCTATTCAAATTAAATTATTTTCTCACTCTCTCTTTCTTCCTTCAGGTCTAAAAACTATCATCAACGCGCTGCTGCACTCGTTCAAGCAGCTCGCAGAAGTAATGACGCTGACCATCTTCTGTCTGATGGTGTTTGCGCTGTTCGCGCTGCAGGTCTACATGGGGGAACTCAGGAATAAATGCGTGAAGAACCTCGTCATTCCACCTGGAGAGAACTTCACTGATGAAGCGTGGTCAGCGTAAGTAGAAAATTTAATTGTAATTTCTCGAAAAATACATGAATTTTTTATTCAAAAAATAACAAAAAATATTATTATCATTGCCATACAAAAACAAACCAATCTTAAAAACAAACAAAATTAAATAGAATTTTAAAGCCATAGAGATTAGAATAACTTCTATTTTCAAAATACTGGTTGCTATGGAAACGACTTCTATTTATGAAAAATAAATCGTACTTCTACTTTCATCACAAGTTTTCATTTGTAGTTAAAATTAATACGCCATTTTATCATTAATTAACAGAAAAATGTAGGAATTCAGAAACAAAATTATCTAATTTGTAGGTAAGTTGCAATCACTTCTATTTTTCGTTGAATCCAATTAAATACACATCCATATAAAACCATTATTTTCCGCGCAAACTGCACAAAACTATAACCAACTTCAAAAACTTTGTTAGTTAAAGTGTAACCGAGCCACATAAATAATTTCCAGTCCAATGAACTTTAAACAACGGTTTATCTTCCCGCCAACTTTCCGAGATCAATTGCTGTAAAAACGATAATCGCCATTTTGAATTATGAGTTATTCTGAGAAGCATGTAATCAAGGGACTTTCGTGTTTAGTTGTTCAAGTGTTTTAAGTGGACTTTATGAAGTCTGTACACAGTACAGCACAGATATTTCTGTTTATTATTTAGTTACAATAAATACCGCTGTAGATTAAATTATTGCGGAAAATAAGAGAAGAAGTATCAAAAAAATATTGTTCAAAAATTCAATTGTCTAGGTAGGTAGGTATTTCGTCAAAAACAGCAATACTTATATCTGTTGTAGCTTAGGTACTAATAACAAATTGAAAATATTTGAGTTTTTTCTAAATATTCAACTAACGGCTGTGTATTTTAAACTACGTGGTAGATATTATATTTGTAACGAATTTTGAACTCGATGAGTATAACAAAATATTTTTCGAACACCTCTCCAGTATGGTTCAGTGTTTCATGCAAATTCATACAAAGTCAATCCTATCCCACAGGTGGATTCAAGAGCCATCAAACTGGATGGTGAATGCGGACGAGGTGCCTATAATCTGTGGCAACCTGACAGGGGCCCGGCATTGCCCCCCAGAGTGGACCTGTCTTTGTGTGGGCCCCAACCCTAACCATGGGTACACCAACTTCGACAACTTCCTATGGTCCATGCTCACCACATTCCAGCTTATCACCCTCGATTATTGGGAGAATGTATATAATATGGTGAGTTTTGTTATTTAATATTTATCTTTAGTTGTTACGAAATTAAGTTCTCTTAGCAACAAATCGAACATTTTGGCGGCAGTGTGAGAGAATCCCTAGAGTGAAATCGTTATCATCAACAGTTTAGATATTTGAAAGTCGTTTAAAACAGATTTATTTTTCACTAGCTGTTGTCCGCGAATTCATCCGCGTAGAATATGAACTTTATAACATAACTTCTTGTTATGTTTCAATTTTCCAAAATAATAGTAGCCTATGTTACTACTTAGTATATCAGCTACTTGTAAAATCGGTCCAAACATTCCAGTGATTAGCTAGTACAGACAGACAGACAGACAAAAATTTTAAAATGTTTTATTTTGGTATGTGTATCGTATGTAGGTATATTCATATGCATGTGAGTCGCGGAGAACCTAACGGGTTATCGGGGCTCCGGCTCGAAGTGCAGGAGAAGGAACGGGGTGGTTTTGGTCAGTAAGAGTCTGACACTCCCTCCGGCCTCACCTAGGCGGGAGCAGACATTCGATGATTTTCTCCCCTTAAAAAAAAATCATATGCATGTAGTTAAAAGGCGGTTATTTTAATATTACAAACAGACACTCCAATTTTATTTATCTTTATAGGTTTGTAGCAGAAATATTTTATAGATGCGACTACCACTGAGAACATGCCGAAAGATATAATAGGTCACCATAATTATTAGTAGACACATAACTGATTAACATATTTACAAAGATAACACAGTCACCGCGTTATCTAAATACCTATAGGTAATATCTAAATACAATAAACCTAGTTATAACAATAAGGCTATTATTATCAGATTACTTAATCGATAGTTGCAGACTACCTCATTAGCCGAGTGGTCGCAAGTGCGACTGCCGGGCACTACTCGGGCAAAGTATTACTAGGTTTTTTACATAATTCTCAGTAGTAGCACGGAGTCTGGAATTGGCCCGGTATAAGGCAATAAGCTCACCCTCTATTACATGGGACTCATAACATAAATAATGAAAAGTGGATGTTACATTGTACAGTGGCATAAGTGCCGTAATGTACACCTCAATACTCAATACTCAATACTCAATACTTTATTGCTTTTCACATGTATTACTTAGGTGGTAAACATAATTAGGACACAATGTGAACCCTGTCGGGCACAAGAACATAAGCTTTGGAGGGAGCACACTTGACATATTATTCGGAGAATTAAAAAAAAATATAATTAACATACAATAGAATTAATATCAAATGGAATACAAACTAACCTCTGTGTACCCCTTCGGGGATAAAAGGCGTGATATTATGTCCATCGATAGTTACTTAAGATTCTTCAACTGCACGATTGGCGCAATGGCTGGGCAACGTGTCTCGGGTTCGATTCCCGCACGGAACAACTCTTTATGTGATCCACAGATTGTTGTTCCGGGTCTGGGTGTCAAGTGTAAGTACTTGTATGTTTATCACGACACAGGAGAAAATACTAGTGTAGGGCAAAGTTTATTAGAAAAAAGACAAAAGTAAAATTATAATGAACTAGCTTCAGCCCGCGACTTTGTACGCGCAATCCCGTTCTTCCCTTTCCCGTTCGTGATTTTCGGTGAAAAGTAAAAAAAAATATTCGATGAAAAAGTATCCTATGTCCGTCTCCTAGTTCTAATTTACCTCCCGTCTAATTGTCATCCAAATCGATGTAGCCGTTCTTGAGTTATAAGTAGTGTAACTAACACGACTTTCTTTTATATATATAGATAATAATACTGTCATTCTCAGCCACACATAAACAAACGAATGTTACCCACAAACATTCTAATGGACCCAAACAAAAAACACAAAAGTTAGTTCATCAAGCATGCACCTAACTAACCCTTAACCGCTTCAACGATTTTGAGGTCCCAGAATTTTATTACAAAGGGTCTACCAGACCCAAATGAAGTTTAGGTGAGTTGGGGGTATGGGTGTAATGCGAGTCCCGTTTGCCGTTCCTTAATTAATTCTCAGGGAACCGCTTTGAGATGGCCGTGCGACTGAAATGCTTTCAAACGTTTCTATGACGTCATTAGAATGTAATTGCAAAATGTATTAGTGAGTTAGATTTGTGGGAGTGTTGTAAATGACGAATGTCTTTTTGAAATATTAATGATGAGATATAGATTAGATAAATTGAAAATATTTAATAATTTCGCTATTTTCTTTACAAATTACATAACATAACATCACGCCTTTTATCCTCAAAGGGGTAGGCAGAGATGCACATTATGCCACTGTGCAATGTAACAGCCACTTTTCACTATTTATGTTATGAGTCCCATGTAATAGGGGGTGAGCCTATTGCTATATACCGTGCACAGTTCCAGACTCCGTGCTACTCTGCACTCGGCCAACGAGGCAGTTTTTTTGTAATTACCAATTATCCAATTCTAAATAAAAATTATAGACACTGTGATATATGGAACCCTTGTTAAAATCTTCTTCTTCCATGATCTCTTAAATAGTTCGAGGTGGGTGCTCGACTAATTTCAAATCAAGCTTTTCGAACATAACATAACATAACATCACGCCTTTTTATCCTTGAAGGGGTAGGCAGAGGTGCACATTACGGCACTTAATGCCACTGTACAATGTAACACCCACTTTTCACTATTTATGTTATGAGTCCTATGTAATAGGAGGTGAGCCTATTGCCATATACCGGGCACAATTCCAGACTCCGTGCTACTACTGAGATTTTTAAAAACCCAGTAATACTTTGCCCGACCCGGGAATCGAACCCGAGACCCCTTCCCAGCAGTCGCACTTGCGACCACTCGGCCAACGAGGCAGTCAACTTTTCGAACATATTCATAAAAATACGAATATCATAATATAAAGAAGTTAAACTACTCCATATTAACTATATAATTCATATTTGAACAATTGAACAGAACTCAAAGGTTGGTTCCTATCATTCATCATTCACGTATGTTGCTCAGGATTTGCATATAGCCGAATTTGGGAATTGGATTCACGGTTGCCTGGATAGACAGGTTGAAATGGTGGCCTACAACTGTGCGGGATTGATAGACATCTTACTTACTTGCGATAAGGTTCATTTTCGTATAGCATGTATACAAGTTGTAATAGAAATATAAGGCCATTATTCTAAGGTAAATGTACCGTATTGTTCGAGCACTTACTGTCTACAAATTCACAAATAATACATTGACTATTTACGTGTGAGAAAACTATGCCGGCACGAATGAGCCGGCTGGACCGAATTGATACCACGGCCTCACAGAAAACCGACGTGAAGCAACGCTTGCGTAGTGTTTCGTCGAGTGAGTGAGGTTATCGGAGGCCCAATTACTCCATCCGCAATCCCCGAAACCCCAATAATACTCAAATTCTAATCCCCAACAGGCTGGCAATGCACTTGTAACACCTCTGGTGTTTCGTCCATCGACAGCGGCGATTGCTTACTGTCAGGTGATTCGTATGCTCGTATAAGTACCGGCTTGTTCCATAAAAAAATGTATAAAATCTACTCTTGTTTCTTACCAGAGTAAAAGCTTATACAATCCAGTTATCGTAATCTTGCCCTTGATGTCACTGACCGTACAATCACCCACAGTTATACCGATAATATCAATTCATATGTCCAACGACATAACTCATTAAACTCAGTCGAAACTATGACATTATAAATAGCTCCTTTCCACGAAATACTACCACGACTGAATTCAAAGAAAACTACGTTTATTCGTAGATACCTACAGAAGAATAAGTTTACAATAGTAGATAAGTATGCACTAAAATATGAATTAAAAAGTATTTCTTTGTTTTTGTTTAACTGATGGATAAGTTGATGTGTTTATAAAATACTAGCCGTTGCCCGCGACTCCGTCCACGTAGAATATGAATTTTAGAAAATAACTAATTTTGTTCCAATTTTCCAAATTAAAAGTAGCTTATATTACTCCTTCATCACCTGCCAATAAAAGCCCTGTCAAAATCGGTCCAGTTATTCTGGAATACTTGGACAGACAGACAGCCAAAATTTGTAAAAAGAATATTTTAGTATGAGTATCGAATGTACCCACAGAACATTATAAAGGAGATAAATGTACCTATATTTATATGCCTGAAGTAAAAAACGGTTATTTTAATATTACAGATTCATTTTTTTATCTGTATAGATGTAAATATCACTAGGAACAGCAACAGGAACCTAATTAGACATTGCAAACCCTAGGAAAATTTAGCAAATATTCAATAAACATCAAAAAAAATAATACAGAATCAAAATCAGTCGAAAATGGAGAGCCTATTTCTTTAGTAAACACTGACATACATTTGGTGTTTATTATTATACTAGCAACCCTAACTCGCACGGGTGCAATATGCATGTATTATACATATAAACGTTCCTTAACAATCACTCTATCTATTAAAAAACCGCATCAAAATCCGTTGCGTAGTTTTAAAGATCTAAGCACACATAGGAGTCGCGGAGAACCTAACGGGTAACCGGGGCTCCGGCTCGACGTCCAGGAGAAAGAACGGGGTGGTTTTTAGTCAGTAAGAGTCTGACACTCCCTCCCACCTCACCCAGGTGGGAGCAGTCATTCGATGATTTTCCCCCCCTTAAAAAAAAAGCACACATAGGAACAGACAGACAGCGGATAGCGACTTTGTTTTATACTATGTAGTCATGACCCAGAATAACCTATGTAATAGATACACGGCACAAAGCCCTGAAATACCTCTTTGTTTCTACTTAAGAGGCCCAAAGCTTTGTAAACGAGTATTTATTCTTAATTTTCAATATACCTACAAGAATTGCAGATTTATAATAATAATATAGCCTTTATTCAGATCCGTGCTACAAAAGAAAATACATTAAAAACTTAAATCTAAAAATAATGTAAATATTAACTTAAATAGCTTTTGTGTATTTTTTGGAAATCTGTTTTCCAGTAGACAAAGGTCTCCTCCAACTATGACAAGATTATTCCTTTTTTATATTTTGTACCTAAGCACATTTTTGTTACAATTTAGTGTTAAAACAAAGCACTAAAATCCTTAGTTAATATTATATTCAAAGTGCTAAATGTAGGTACAAACCACGGGCATGTTCCTAAGTAAACACAGTACACACACTTATCTCTGGGACGGTCGGGTAACGGTTGGTTACACTAATAAATTACTTTGAACAATCTTCTGTAGCGGTTCGTGAGACAAACGTTTAAGGAGACAAGAATCTGAATACTTAGTAGATACGGCTATGTTTGGCATCTTTTTGTGTTTGTGGACTAAAGTACAGGAGACTGGTTTATCAGTCGTTAATTCATTAATTAAGGCTTTAACTGCCAATGAAAAACTGTTGCAGGCAAATCCTCCGCTAACGTCGGTTATCGTTTAATGTGTTAAGGGACTTAAGTCATTGCTAAAATCGTATTAAGGTTTTATGTATTGATTAGAAATCTTTCTCTGATAGCATACACATGGGTTAACTTTTTTAATATTATAGGGGGTGGTTTACTATAAATCAAGGGTGTTTTAGATTCTTATTCACTAAAAACTAAAAAGCACCCCGTCCCCCCGTAGCCCTATACGCCGGAGCCATCTTATATGGCTGGTCTCACTTACAACAAACACATAAAAAACTACAATAACATTGCTGATTCCATTCTCTAACTACAACATCGACTCATCTACCCGTAATAACAAGCAACAAGCAATTTGCAATGCAAAATCGAGTAATATTCAGGCATAATAGTACTGAATATTGCCAATACATGTGGTGGTGTGTGTGTGTGTGTGGTCAGTGTGGAACCTTTACCACGGAATAAGCAAGAGTAATGGTTTATTTCCTTTTTGAGGAACTTACGGGGTACCCTGACTGTAAGAATTTAAACCAACATACGGTTCTTCTAGGGGCACTCAGAGTGCCAAGCACGAATAACGTAACGTAATAGTATCGAGCGCGTTCGGCGCTCTGATTGGCCGGCTCAAGTGAACGAACCAATCAGAACGCGTAACTCACTCGATACTGTTACGATACGAATGCGATAGTTATTCGTGCTTTGCAGTCTGTTTAAGATCAAAAGACAACAGACTGATGCCATAGGGCTCGTACACAAAACTACGATGCGATGCGATGCGAATTCACACCGCAAAAAATTACGATGCGAATTGCTGCGATGCGATTTCGTGCGACAAGGCGTTTCCAAGGGTGACCATTCCTTCGACGACCGTCAACCGTACTAAACGTATTTTAAATTGAAAACTAGGAGGTCGTGGCATGGATCGTAAAGAAGTGTGCATTTCCGTTATTGCTTTGGAGAAAAAAAATAAAGAAGATTTTGGGATGATAAGATTTTGATGCGCGATGCAAATCAATTCGCAAGTTCTTGCGATGCGTAGAGGGAGCTGGCACATTTTTGCGATGCGACGTCGTATCGCAGTTTTTCACAATCATCATTCATCGCAATTTCTGAATACCGAATAGCTACTCATTTTTAAGTCGCGCTTAGGTGTAGTTCTGTCACTACAAATTCTTTGTATAATGACAGAGATAGCACGATATTTAAGTAAAACTTAAAATTGAGTATCCTTTCAATATTGGCGCGTGAGTGCATTGAATATGATATCGATAATCACCTTTTTTACTATCTATATGTCTAAGCGGTAATATGTTAGTAATTATTACGAATTTACTGACATGCCATCTTACCTGTTGAGCTGTTATACTAATAATCAAGTACAGATTGTTAGTGATAATTCTAGATAATAGGTATACTAATGTTGTCTATTTGGAACTAACTAACTTAACTAGCCCCATTAATATTTAACACATTCAGGTACGTAACCAAGTATGAAGTTCACTTCCATGATATGTTTTACATTGGTACAATTACCATTGAAAAATATAAAAAAAATCCCGGTAAAATTCATACCACGTAGTCATTCAGTTCATTCGTCATTCAGTTGCGAAGTCAAGAAAAGCAAACAAAACCTCTTTCGATAGGTTATACTAAGATTTTAACACCGACTTTACCGAAAAATTTCTTCAAACTGAAATTCTCAAGTCTTCGGAATAGCGCACACGCAACAGATTCAATAAATAATGTAATCAATCAAGTTCAAAACTTACTTCACAAACTAAATTGAGAGTTGATCAATATATTCAGTAGTTGAACAACAAAACCCGTCTCGGTTAATTTAATGACAAATACGTTAACATCACAACAGGGCCCCGAAAACAGCGGACAACGAGGGATTTTATTCAACAACATAATTTACTTTATGCAAATTTCAAATCTTACTTAATGAATACAAAGATTTAGATTAAAAGTAGCCTTACAAACTCAAAGCCTGATCAAACCTGTCTGCATTTCATTACAGTCTAGAATTTTAGATAATATGAATATTAATTCGAAAACTAGATTGAAGTGAATAATCAAATATTCTGATGGTACTGAAACTGACAAGATCTTTAATGAAATAAGTAATGATAAGAAAAGTTAAGTTTGGGAATGTTCCACTTAATTCTCTTTAATATGTCACATCTCAGGTTATAGGTAAGTACATCAATTTTACCAGAGAAAAACATAGGTAATTTTTTTTTAAGATTTGGACATGACAGAATTCGTTATGCCAGTAGCTTTCAGAGAATACTTTTATATAATTTGAGTTAAACAAAATTGACATCATGGTTGATGCAGTGGTCGGGCAACAGGCTGCCACGCAACGTGTCGCGGCTCGCGGCTTCGATTCCCGCACGGAGCAACTCTTTGTGTGATCCACAGATTGTTATTCCGGGTCTGATTGTCATGTGTATATGAACTTGTATATTTGTAAACACACCCACGACACAGGAGAAAATCCTAGGTTGGGGCAACGATTTTATAAAAAAAAAGAAAAAAAATGCTGTTATTAGACAAAATCATTAAAATATGATTTCTCGTACAAACACTAGGTTCATAAATTATTTTGATTAGTTCATTCAAAAATGAATAAAAATATTTCAATAGTAAATTCACACTCATGCAATATAAATGTAATTCGCTGGCTTTATAGCCCAATCCACAGTTACTTTGATTTTAATGTCAAATGTAGGGCAACTACTAAACTAAAAGCGTTATGGATGTACGGACGTAATGTAGGTTAATTTCCGTTGCGGCTTTCAAGTTTATTTCGGGACAAATTATTAACTACTCTTGATACCTATAACTATATTCGGTATGCCTAATCTATTAAGTATGTCTAAATCTATTTACGGTTTAGGATTATCTTCTCTAGATTAACGGGAGTGTGTACGGTATAGGTTATAATAAAACAAGAGAGGTTACACATTTACCATATGAAATACCTGTTCCTAAACTAGAAATGTTTCGAAAAAACTGTGTTTACATGGCTCCTCTGGTATATAATGCACTGCCAAAGTGTATAACAGAACTTCCCTTTAAAAAATTCTGTAATCAGTTACGTAAATGGTTGTTACATGAATGCTTTTATTCAATTAACGAATTTTTTTATAAATACCCATGCAAAAATTTTAGTATACATCTAGCTTCTAGATATAAGCCTAAATAAGCTAGTCCATTTAAAAGGTTCCTCATGTTCCTATTCTGTAGTAGCCTAAGATAAAAGATTTATTTATTGTTTGTTATTTAGTCTTATAGGCATCTGTTATTAAATGGTGTATTGTGTTTGGGTGATATGTCAAAAGTAAAGTTTATAACTGTATAACATATTAGTTGTTAAGAAAACTAGTTTTTAAGTAATTTGCATGCCGCTATGACGGCGAAACATGTTGACCTATTTTATGATTTAACAACTGTACCTACCGTGTTTCTGGCAAATAAAGATATTATTATTATTATTATTATAAACATCATGTCTAGTTAAAATGTTCGTGATATTTTGACACTAATCAACTCTATAAGTGGCGATTTCAAACTTACCTCTATAATTGGAAAATTATAAACCCAGATTTCCTCACAATGTTTTCCGTGAACCACTTTAGTAAAAATGGATTTACAACATGACATCATGCCCTTTTACCGCCAAAGGGGTAGGCAGAGGGTATCAATGCCACTGTACAATGTAACACCCATTATTCACTATTTATGTTATAAGTCCCGTGTAATAGGGGGTGAACTATTGCCATATACCGGGCACAATTTCAGACTCCGTGCTACTACTGAGACATTTTTAAAGACACCCATTAGTGTTTTGTCCGACCCGGGAATCGGACCCGAGACCCTTTGCCCAGCAGTAGCAATTGCGACCACTCGGCCAACAAAGCAGTCAGGTAGTGGATTTAGAAGTCTAGAAATATCGACTTCATATCTTCAACAAAGAAAAAGCACATAAAAAATATCAGCTACAAACGCTTGGGTACTTAGTTAAAATAATTTGGGTGGAAATCTCGGTTGTAACTCAAGATCTTATCGATTTGTGAGTCCAGTGTTTCCACCCACATATTGTTCCGGGCCGTCTGTTTTCCCGGCCCGTTGAAACGACCGGAAATGCTGGTGACAACACTATTTATACGGATCCGGTACGTTTGGGTCGCTCAAGTAAATTCGTCTGTCTTTTATACGTCAGCGTCGAGCGCCGAATTTTCAGTTAGGGATTGTAAATTTAAACACATATGTCAATTTGAATTAAGAACTGATTTTTTTTTTATAAAGCGTCTATTAGTATAATCGACAAGTAATCCAATATCTTCGACGTCTAAATCGTCTAATCTAAAAGATACAGGAATCCTGTGTAAATCCGGTAACCGGTGACCAGCATCCATGTTTCATTACCTAAAAGACAATATTATTTGCAGGTACTGTCATCGTGCGGTCCGATGTCGGTGTCATTCTTCACAGTAGTGGTATTCTTCGGATCGTTCTACCTCATCAACCTGATGCTCGCCGTCGTGGCCCTCAGTTATGAAGAGGAGTCGCAGATCACACAGGAGGTACATACATAACAGTCTGATTATTTTCTTTTATAAAGGTGGTTAACATTGGTTTTAGACAGCATGCTGGTGCCCATCACAACGTTTGCTTTGGAGATTGCACCATTAACAGAAAGATCATAAAACACGTGTCCGATAGAATCAGTGCAACTTCTATAAGTAAATATTCCTTGCTTCTGTATAATATAAGTACTTGTATATCTTAAAGTTAATAAGCAAAAACGATTATTCTTTCTTCCTACAAAAAAAAGGTCTATGCGACCAAAAACTTATGCAGTTAATAACAAAATTTTATGCAGTTAGAACTTACTATAGTAATTCTGTCACAGTTTAGTTTATATCCTTTTATCCTTTTATCTCTCATCAGGAAAGGAAGAAAGACCTGAATGAGCATCGCGACGATTCCACCTTCAGCTTCGATCCAACGTCGCTGGCGGTTCGGACGCTCGCCAAGGACTCAAGAAAGCGCATAGACGCGCGTAAAGGCCTACTATTGGCCTCTTATTCACGAAAACGGACAAGAAGACGTAAACGGGGCAGAAGTGCTATTCATCATGCAGCTGCAGTTGCTGCTGTTGCTGAGTGAGTACTAGTTATTTAATTACATTATCTTAATTAAGTTCACAAAAACCTGGTAATACTGACAAAGAGAACAAACTATAGAAAGTGTTGGAACGTTGTGGATGATGTCAGACTTATCGTTGCATTACAGATTGATAAAGATGTTATTAGAAATATACATTACATTAAAAAAATCCGTTTTCGTTTATCGATGGTGAGGAATTATGATAAATTTACCGAAGGCCCAATTACCCCCCCCCCTTCCCCAATCTTCCCAATCCCTTGAATCCCCAACGATCCTCAAACTCCTAGTCCCGATAAGGCCGGTAACGCACTTGTAACGCCTTTGGTGTTCCAGGTGTCCATGGGCGACGCCTATTGCTTACCATCAGGTGATCAGTCTGTTCGTTAACAGACGTATGCCATAAAAAAAATTAGGTCAAATTTGGTTTAGGTTGACGCTATTAAACGGTAATCCCGATCTTTTCCGAAAAGACATAAAACTACGGACTTATCTCTATCTAATTCTAAATAGTAACAAAATAATCATGTGAAATTCAGCTATGTTATAACGTAGAACATGAACCACTTTGTGAGAGAGACCGTGTGAGAGACCGTATACGACATGAGGTTAACATAGTTGACCGAACTTGACGGCTGAAAATCGAGAGAACTATCTATACAGTCGACTTTCCAGAATCCCTACAATGACAAGCTAGAATATATTTTGAGGAGCCATTGAATTTGAGTTTAATATTAACTAATCTGCTAATATCTACCTATTTACTAAAATCCGAATTCCATTAATAACGTCTATCTATGATTTTTTTGATAAAAATACATTACCCCTCATTAGTATTTTCTTCTCTGTCGGGGGTACGTTTACCAACATACAATTTCACATACACATGACACCCAGACCCGGAACAACAATCTGTGGATCACACACAGAGTTGTTCCGTGAGGGAATCGTAGCCGCGACACGTTGCACGGAAGCCAGTTGTCCACCCACCGCGCCAACCGTGTAGACAAAGTCAAGTTACATAGATTTTCGCTATGCTGTGTTTAATAAATAATAATATAATATGCAAAACTCTGTATCGCAAATAATATACGAAATGCATTATTATATCGTTCGTAATTAATACACTTCCTGCACTAATTAATTAACAAACCAAACATTTCGATATACAGCAATAAACTTACATTACGTTAGGGAGTGGGAGTGTGGGAGAGCCATGCTTCGGCACGAATGGGCCGGCTCGACCGGAATGATACCACGGCCTCACAGAAAACAGACGTGAAACAACGCTTGCGTTGTGTTTCGTCGTGTGAGTGAGGTTACCGGAGGCCCAATTACCCCCTTCCCCAGTCTCCCTAATACCCGAATCCCCCACAATCCTTAAACTCCTCAGTCCCAAACGGCCGGTAACGCACTCGTAACGCCTCTGGTGTTTCGGGTGTCCAGTGCCCATGGGCGACGCCGATTGCTTACCATCAGATGATCCGTCTGCCCGTTTACCGACTTATCTCATAAAAAAACTTCATTTTATTAATCCACATCTGTGAGCAAATTTTATCTTTTAATATATGGAGAGAAATCCAATAAGTAAGAATATGGGAAAGATGGAAAGTTCCATATCGCGAAGTTTTATAAAGTCAATAGAAAGAAAATAGAAGTGAAGACAGGAGATATATGTATAAACTATGCGTTGTCATTATTATTAGTTAGGTATTAACAATATAAGGAAAGAAAAAAATGTGTGCAACTTAAAATACGCTAAAACTAATAGAGAAATTAACAATAAAAATAAAAGAATAATGACTATTTACTGAATTAATTTAGTCAATAGGGAAAGTACCCATAAACTACATATATACATGTATACCGTTTATAAATTGTATTATGTTACGATCGCGGTGGCTTAGAGAATAAGACACCAGCTCTCAAAATACTAAGAGGGTGGGACTTGGACTTATTATTTTTAATTATAAGCTTGATATCATCAATTGGCCTTGAGTACAAGCGATTAATGCTCAAATCTTCTCCACGCGAGAAGATCTTTGCTCAGTAGTAAGCACTTACCTATTGGCTGATGATGATGATAATAATGATGGTAATCTGTATACAGCTTATATCCCTTCTGTATTTTAAACTTAGTACGAAAGATTTACTTCAAAGCTTGTCGCAAGTGTACACAAGTCTTATACCAAGAAGCAATTTGCACGAAAATGTAACTTCTAAACAAATTGTGAGTTTGTGAGAACAAAGCGAAAATTCTATTAATTTTAGTAAACTTTACGTTTCTTTGAACCGAACAAGTGCTACGGAAAGCAGTCTCTTTGATTTTGATCTATTGTAATTTTTAATTACGTATCTATATACATATAGAGGTATAAAAATGAACACCTTTTTCCCTTGGTCACGTCATCACGCGTGAATGGCTGGACCGATTTCACTAATTCTTTTTTTGTTATATTTTTTATTATTAGGATAACGTTTTTAAGACAGAAAAAACCTAAAAATCCTACGGGAACGGGAGAAAACGGGATTGCGCGTACGAGGTCGCGGGATGAAGCTAGTAGTGTTAATAAAAACATTTTTCATACTAATAGGAAAAGTCATCAACATCTTCTATGTTGATGAAAATGACCATTAGGTACTTACAAAAAATACTTAATTAAAAGTTACTTAGCGTTAGGAAGTACCTAAACTAACCCCTTCTAGCTTTAGGAATCACTTATAAGTAGATTGATGAAAACGAAAATATCGTTATCTATCTTAATTTCTTTTTACTAATATCAGTATAGTGATACTGTAAAATATACGTAAATATATATTATGTATGCAACTATTTTACCCACAAACATTTCCAAGAACATATTATATTCAACACAAGTACTCAACGCTGATTGGAACTTAATTACTTTATAAAACTTTAGTGGAATTTCAATTACGAAAAAGCGAATACAATCATGTTTCATTTTGAGTTGTCAGAAATAATACACGATTTTATTTATCTGTTGGCCAAAATAGCAATGTTATAAAGTTTTTAAAATTGAAATGAAATCAAATAAATTAAAAATAACTGATCCGTCTGTGATGCAAGTACCTAATGTTATTTTATTATTTCATTTATTCTAAGTGTTTTATTATTCTGATCTTTCTCTTTATCTCTTAAGGACTCTTCATAGATTCTTCTCTTCACGAATAGTTGTACAGCGACTCCGGACTTTAAGTATATTATGGGAGTTGAACACCCCATGTGTTCAACTCCCATAATATTAACACTTTAGAAAATTACTTTCAATCCCAAATTACCCACGTGTAAAAAAAAATAATTAATTAACCTACAATGACAATAGGAATCAATTCAATACACAACCAATAATCGTGTGTAATGAACCGTGTAAGATAGAGTTTGCAGTTTATAACTACCAGATTGTTCATCAAATCCAACATAGTCATCGTCCTAATGAACGTAATCAATGGCGTGACCTATCATCATAACTATATACGAAGGAGAATGATACTTAGATACCTAATCTATACATATAATACAATTGTAAGAAAGTTAAAACTGTACATGAATATTATTAAAAGAATGATTGGAGGCGTCTAGAATTGATATATTTTTGTCTGTTTATCTGTTTGTACATCCGGGCTTTTATCGAAATGCTGCTAAAACGTCACAGACTTAGGTACTTATTCGCAGTATGTAAGTTTCATAACATAACATAACATCACGCCTTTTATCCCCGAAGGGGTAGGCAGAGTTGCACATTACGGCACTAAATGCCACTGTACCTACAATGTAACACCCACTTTTCACTATTTATGTTATGAGTCCCATGTAATAGGGGGTGAGCCTATTGCCATATACCGGGCACATTTCCAGACTCCGTGCTACTACTGAGATTTTTAAAAACCCAGTAATACTTTACCCGACCCGGGATTCGAACCCGAGACCTCTTTGACCAGCAGTCGCACTTGCGCCCACTCGGCCAACGAGGCAGTCAGTGTAAGTCAGGCAGTGTAAGTTCCTACGTGAAAGTAATGAAGTGTACCTCTTTAAACATTATAGATATTATTTACTTCAATGTAATAAAAGCTAAAATAAGACAAAAATATTAGATACAAGTTTCTATTCTCAAGCTGCACGAGAAACATTTTATACAATGCATCTCGACAAGATGGTTCCCTAGGTACAATGTGAGAACACTCGGAAAGGGTCATTCTCTAACTGAAATAAAACTTTTAACTATTTGCTTGTATGAAGAAATATTTCTATTCAAGTCTGTAAAGAAAAAACATATTGAGAGAATGGCCACAAAAGTTTTTTTTTGTAACAAATAAACAGATATTTTCTTTTTAAAATCTTAGGTACCGGTAACACCTTTATAATTATTGTAAAGCAAAGTGACAGTAAATAAATGTACTTTAGTCTTTTAACATAACAGTAAGCACATTCCTTCGAAACAGAGAAACAAACGCAAACATTTTAATTAGACTTTCTGCCACAACCACAGATATGCTAGTGTCGCTACACAAATGGCCAACAACGCTAGTTCCATATCTTATGACATTTTAATTACATTTCTTTCAAAACCATCTTTCACCTCCTTTAACAGAAACTCTATGAAAGAAGATATTTATTTTTAATTACGTTTTCTAACAGGTTTTTAACACTAATTAATTTTTCATCTTAATGAGGTCGGAAAAATAATTGTAATTAAAACATCTTAATAATACGCGTATCTTTTAAGATGGATATAATTAAATTGGTGGATTAGGTAGTTAGGACTTTTCCCCCGTCGATAGGCATACGTTATCTAACAGATTTTGCGGACTCACGCACATTAAATCCACAGAAAGGTTAATTACGCACTCGAATAAATAATGTATCTTAATAATTAATACACAATTATTGTAAGTAAGTATACAAGAGATTAATTTACGAGTTGTTATTATCTACTCAATGTCGGATTACTTCTTTGAGATATATATTTCGTAATTATTTCTCCGAAAAGAATCAACCCAATTATTTATTTTGCAGATAATGCGGCAATCGATACTTACCCTATTAACAATAATCCGTTTATAATAAACATCAACTCCCACGTCCAATAAATCAATACTAATAAATATTCGTTGTAAGAATCGATGGAATAAACAATCGTTTAGTTCAACAAAGACCTCGAAAACGGATATAAACAACACAAAAGGCTTTGCAGCCAATTTGGGAGCGGGAAAAAACGTTGATGGCGTTCCATATTCATATTTAAAAGTTGGCAATAAAGCGAATGAAGCGCGACATCGACCATCGACAATTGTTGATTGTCGCGGGGCTGTCGGCAGCACACCAGTGTGCGAACTTGCGGACGTAGCTACTGATATTGTAGATATGTCGATACCATCGGAATGTCAGCTGCCAACTGACATATATCTACGATGCATTCACTTTGATATCGAGCTAGCTTTTATACGAGATTCAGCGTTTTGCGGCACTCGCTCGATGCGAAATTGTTCCGCTTACTACACTGTAATGGTTGATGGAAAATCTTTTTGTTTGTGGCCATTTTCATGGATCTGTTGTTTCCTTTAAAGATGGTAATGGATTAGGAAGTGTTGAGGATTTTACAGGATTTCACTTATAGAGAGAATATCTCACTGTTAGAGTGAGATATTCTCTCTATAATATTCTGTCTGATACAAAGTTCCATTCAAGTTAAATATTCCTTTTATTCTACAGTAGAAACACAAGCATGCAAATTGTGTTAAACACCAAAACACAGCAACAAATTCAAACAAAACCATATCACAATAACAGTGTAACAAGGTTTACAGTTATCTCTAATTGTACAAGCGTGTCGCACAAAACTAATTACAAATCTTGTGATTCTTCACTGTAATTATACAAAGAAAACAAAGTGACAAAGGAATGCAGTCAAAGAGCGTGGAGCCGGCTAACAAGATTCCGGCGGCGGGATTATCACGAAGTTAAGCCTGGAATAGGACGGGAGAATTATCTGAGCCAGCTACGGGACACTTCCTCGGCATCGCTCGGCAAAAAACAAATATCTGCCATTAGAGCGATAACATTCAACGGATTTGCGTTTTGTACTTGAAATAAGCTACGAATGAAATTCAGAGTAGCTGAGAATTTAACCAGCTCGTTGGCTGTCGACTTGATAAAACGAATGAAATACTGTTCCTTTCTTTAAATGCAGATTCTCCTCGGATCCTCGTAGAAACTAATTTAATTAAGAGTGTGATTTGCTGAAAATCAAACTGTTAAATGCTAGCCGATTGAACAATACTGGCTAATGCAGCTGGCATGTATTGTTAATTCTTTAACAAAGAAAAACTAACTCATACTTATTTACGCAAGCTCAAGGTGTAGGTACAATTATGTCCCACATCTACTATATTGACATAAATATCAAACAAACGTCTCTACTAATTATAAAGTAAAATAAACTAATATAGAAATGTTTACTCAAACCGGAGTGAAAGGTGTGCGACGAGGGAATCAGAATCAAATAAGCGAAACCTTACAAACTTAGTCGCAGCACTCGCAGTTCTCGCAGTTCTCGCAGTACAAGTTTACTCACATTCTCGGGAAAATACACAGCGAAGTGAAATGCATCCCCGTATCGTATTGGTAGACTTTGTTGAATTAAATTCATGTTCTTTGTTCATGAGATTGATTTACTTTTTATTTTATACTCCTTTGTATGGATTTAACCTTATTTGTTATACCACATTTTGCCTTAGATTATTTAACCAACAAGCATTTTGCTATGTTTATATAAATATAAGGTTTTCTGTCACATACCAGATGTAAATATTAAACTAACTATTATGATACTGATTTCAATGTTTCCCAATATTAGGGAATTTCTGTAATATCGTCTCTTGCCCTTAATAATTCGAAAATTTACGACGGAGCAGTTCCCTGTAAAAGGCAGTAAGAAATAAGAATATATTACATCCGGTTACCGTGTGCGTGACACGATAAGGAAAGGGATATTGTTAACATAATCCTGAATCCCCCGTATAAAACAAAAGAGAAGTGTCAATAAGATTTTATACCAAGTAGTACGATAGACGCAATACCTTGTGAAATTTTACTACAACATTGTTATCTAGCCTGATTCACAGTTGTTCAATTACGAAGCGTAATTCAATAAAATCGAAACGATCCTCCCGATTCGCAGCACATCGTAAGCCCCCGAGGTGATAATGAAAAAGCTCATTTACTTTGTGACATTCTGCAAACCCGTCTGCTGTCTGGCTATTGACTCGAGGAGATCAAAACACAAACGAATCCTTCAGACTGACGACGATCTCTTTTAAAACTATCACTTTGAAGTACTGTTTCGACGAGGATATTTTTAAAGAAAACTTTTAGCAAACGAATAGAGATGTCGGATTTCGTCTCAGCTCTCACAAATTCTACCAATTTCAAATGCCATTCGATTCTGCAGTCGGTTTCCAGTTAGATATCACATGAAATGCAAAATATGATTTCCGGTTTCGGATAATGTGAGTGAGGCAACCGGATTGGGCTGCGAGTTACGTCGAGTTACGTGAATCGTAATCCAATCTTTGTGAAACTCTGTTGAGTATATCCTCTTGGGAGACATGTACGAAACTGTAAAGCAATTTAAGGAAAGCGTCAAATAAAATGAACACATTACTGGAGAAAGATTTGATTTATTTATAGAAATCGTTTCTATCCGATATTTGAAATAGGTCTATACCTATTTACCTTTGTGGCATCCGCGAGAGTCCTAAATAAATAATAAACCTACAAAATATTGACAACAAAACGCCAAAAATATACTTCATAACATCTGTACGTGGTATTCTTATCCAAATGGTTCTCTTGTCTAACTTTAACATTTTGAATTATTTTTATCTACAAACTTTTGTGAATCTCCGTAAACTTCATTAGTTTGATCCGATTTAAAGTTGTAAGCACTTGGACGCAACTCTCATTTAGTTAATTGAAAAAGCAAGTTAACGTTTTCAAACACAAGTTCGTCTCATGCTGTTTCTGTAGCCAGTTCTATGAATACAAAATACGTTTGGCGACAGAAAGATATATCTCTGTGAAATATAACATAAGTAAATGGCCATACCATTGGATAGGCTAGCACGAGAGCCGCAATACAAGTACAATAAAGCGAACTATTAATCTAGAGGAGCCGACGACAAATGTAGTTCCCGCAATCCACAATACATATTTCCGTTTGAAAGCGGCTCACCTGTTTGACCCAATTCCGGAAAACTCGGAGTCAACACGTGAATTTACATGATAATACGGTTTGCCGCGGGACCATTTACCATAGCGGGCGGTAGCCGCGCTAAGCCCCGACTTCCATTAACGGCGAAACTTGAGAGGCTATAAATTTTTGAACATGCTACCACGTATGTTCACGTATTGATGTCATTGATACATTCAATGAATTCCTAATTTTCTTAGACGGTTATTTGAAGCAAATTTTCAGGGTCTTTTGAAATAAAAAACAAAGGTTTTAGGTTTCAGGTAGATAGTATTAAGCTAATTAATTGTTTTAAGATAAACTATTTTAATGAAGAAAACATTATTTATTGAAGAAACTTACAGCCACATTACCTGCACCATTATGTAAAGGTTTTCACATATTTCAGCAGAATATGTGTGCTTGCCTACTATTTATTACCTTACCTTACCTTTTTGAAATAATCAGATGGATATTATCATGATTCCGTTCAACACTTAAGGTGCCAGCAATACCCATAAGTACAAATATCAACGTTCCGTGCAGCTCTAACGGTGTGTACATTGTTTCAGTGACGCGGGCAAGCGGTCCCGGTCGCGGTCTCGCTCGCGGTCCGTGACCCCGAGCGCATCACCCCCGCCGCTGCCGGCGCCGCAGCCCCCGCCCCCGCCCCACACTCTGCACCCAGACAATGCATTAGGTACAATACTATTCTATACTTCACCTACAACGGTCTAAGGATTATTGAAGTCCCAACTAAAAGGAAACATCTTATAATGTTGTACTCGTGTTTGAACTTGACCTGTCGTCTTACTGAGACTCTCTGATTCTCTAATTTTATTTGCATTAATCACAATATTTAACATTGTCTGATATGGAATATCTCTTTACTAAATGTAGGGTACTCAAATATCTAAGTGTAAAATCTCAAAGTAAATAATAATATCTACGTCTGTACCATTTACATCACATCGAACTAAAAGCTTCCATATTAATATGATTCCGACGATACAACGACATAAAGATTGATTCGCTGTCGAGTAAATCTCAGAAAATGTTAATAGAATATCGCTCGAGCAGAAACGTATTGAATGAATATTTTCTCGGCGGCTCTATGGAACATTATATTTTGTACTCTTATTATAATTTATCAAATATGTAAGAGAAACATCTGTGTAAATTACTTTTTAAACAGTACAGAGTCTGAAATGGAAAGCCAAATGTGTTTTCTATAAACTAATAATTTTGTTGTTAACATCTCAGGTCGAGGTGCTCTAAGTGCAGCGGGTCGTCAATTAAGTGATCACAGTAACAACAGGGAGTCTTCCCTTGATGACTCGGGTGTGGTGGATGACCACGATGATGGAGAGCATACATCTGACGACCAAGCACCACATCCACACCCTAGGAGACATCTACTGATACCTCAACTGCCGCCGCCGCCAAACCACCCACCTACACCGATGCCAATGCCGATGCAGACCCCCATGCAGATGCCAATGCCAATGCAGATACAGATGCCAATGCCTATGCCTATGCCAACTCCAATGCCTACACCAATGATGCCCATGCCCATGCCTCAAATTCAACAGGTATGCAACCATTCTGATGCATCAAAGTCATATATAGTTTCAAAAAAAGGTAACATTAGAATTGTCAGAATAAGTGGGACATTTTCTAAGAATTTCCATATTGCAGGTTTCTCAAGACAGCCAAACACAAGAATCAAAACACAAACACGCAACAAAAATTGAAAAACCTGCTTTAAAACCAAAAAAGCCAACAAAAAGCATACAGGACAAGTACCCGTTAAACCCGGACTACCTCAACCAGATCGTCGTGCTAGGTAAAATCTTCTTCAAACATTAGCACATTTTTCACTTCCTAAAAACTTTTCGGGTTCAGTATTGGCATCAAATTGAATAAGGTTCGGGAAAGTAGCACATGTGCCGCGATTGAGGGATTGGAAGGCAATCAAATAAATATTACAGTTTGATGGCACTACACAACCTAATCCAATTTATTGGCACGGCTTCAACACTGAAAAGCACGAGACAAATAACACTGAAACTAAACGATGCTGCCACTATGTATCAGAATGAACGCTTTGCAAACACGAAGGGCTAACAATACTATGACAACGAATGCATTTTATAGGGGTTCGGTACAATCATTGGAATTAATGAACTTGCCAAATTAATTTTGTAGATTTAGATGAAGGACGTAAGTTTTATTGGCTATAATTCTGCATGATATTCAATAATTCTTGTCCAAATTATGTCACTTAGGAGTCCATTATTTCGACATCTATTCAACCTTTGAATGCTTGCGTTCTATGCATTTTTACTTTTCTAAATTGGAATTACATTGTACAGGTTAATTTTAATTAAAGTTTCTAAATTATTAGGTAGTTTGACTTTCAATACTTTTTCTTCTAAAAATTCTAACTATTCACTCTGTTTCAACTCTCATTTGCAACAGATGATATTTTCTTTGGATTTCAGAAGCATTATGTAAGGTTCCACTTTGATTTTTGAACAATCTTCGAAAACGTGAACAGTTTCATAAAGAACTTGTATGAATATCCTATGCATCACAAATTCCTTATGAAACGGTTCCACATCAATATTCTTTGGTAGCTTCGCGAATAAATTTTGACAGTGATATATCAAATATTTCAATTTGCTTTCGTAAAAGCTACCAAAGTTGTAGATACTGCAATTACATTATGCAATTAAAACAGTTTTAGGTACTGCTAATATTTCATAGAAATAACTATTCTATTTCTCCGATTTCGATTCATTTTAATTTTGTCATTCATTTAAGAGATAGAATATTTGTTTTCTATGATGGTTACATTCACCAGTAGCTTCACTTCTCAATGAGGTACACTTCATTGGGCATTTTAATACGACACGGTTGCAATCTCGCTTCTACCCTCATTAATATCGTCAGGGGCGGACTGGCCATACAAGCGCGCGCCCGACCTCCCGCAAGCGGAGACGACGAAAATTAATGAGCTCAGTTTATTGGCAGCCACGCACAAAACTCATATGGGCAATTACGAGCAAAATTGCACTTACTTCACAGGTTAGTAAACACAGACGCAAACGCTTCTACCCCCCAGTCCACCCCTGTTCCCCACAGGAAGACTGCAGGGTGACTGCGATTGACTAGCTGTCGTCTTGTCATAGCTCCAGAATCGCATTCAAGTCGATCCACATTACATGAAATTACTTTTACAAATACTTTGAACACTTGTGCATAACTTTTATGCGATTCGTATTTGGAAACATCTAAATTCATGTCAGTGTTTTGTCGGACTTTCAGTGTAACCACTGTACCGGTAACTGCACCGTTTGTACACATAATTGGCAAATCAAAATTTTTCGTACTACCATGCTGGTTTTCCTTGCATATTTATGCAATTTTCCTGCATATTTTCTTAGAACAACTTCGCTTACAATGCATGATGATTTGTGTAATATTTTTAATAAGTTATAGATTAATTTTTAAAACGAAAGCTTTGCATTGATGAAACTTGGATTTGCTTCACTATGCTTTCGCTTGTTTTAATTGATCTATTACTTCCGATTCTTTCTTTCTCCTGTTCGTGACGTATTTGTGTGAAATTTGTTTGATGTTGTTGTCAATGTTTGTATATCTTTCTAATTACATTGATATTTCTGGCAGATGAGCTCGTGGATAGAAACTGTGAATGTTGCGTGTCTTGCTGTATAGACTATGAAGGCTGGCTCCAGTTCCAGAACTGTTTATATGGGATTGTAAAAGATCCCTTGTTTGAGTTGTTCATTACAACTTGTATTGTTCTTAATACACTCTTCCTTGCGCTGGAGCATCATGGGATGAGTGAGAACGTTAGATCGGCCTTAGATATAGGAAATAAGGTAACCAAACGTTAACGCAATTTCTGGCTGTTATGAAATAACAAAGAAAATACTCTTCTTTAAAACCAATTTCCTTTTAGGTGTTCACGTCGATATTTACATTGGAATGTATAATGAAAGTGATGGCGATGAGTAAAGACTTCTTTGCGTGTGGTTGGAATATATTCGACTTGATTATAGTGTCAGCAAGCCTTCTAGATCTTATATTCGAGCTCGTCGATGGCCTATCTGTGTTGCGAGGTCTTCGTTTGGTAAGTTCCACTACTCAAAGACACAATTTCTATACAAAATAACTTCTAAATCTGCAATTGCTTCTTTTACAGTTACGAGTGTTAAAATTAGCTCAATCATGGACTACAATGAAAGTGTTATTGAGTATTATAATATCGACAATCGGTGCTCTTGGTAATTTGACGTTCGTGTTAGTGATAGTTATATACATATTTGCTGTGATCGGTATGCAACTATTCTCCAAGTCCTACACACCGGACAAGTTCGACCCGGATCCAGTACCCAGGTAAACTATTATAAATGTTAGCATATCTCCAAACTTTTACTTTCAAAGTTATTCTTGTAACTACGTGTTCATTTATTTGATTGATTTTCTTATGTGTAGTTATAGATATGTTCTCGTTGATTTCCTTAAAATTCCTTTGCATGTAAATGTTCCATATTTTATTTGTCTCAATGTTATTAACCAACATCCCTGACTCATCGACAACTGAAGGTGGAACTTCAACGACTTCTTCCACTCGTTCATGATGATATTCCGGATACTTTGCGGCGAGTGGATCGAGCCTCTGTGGGACTGTATGCGCGCGGAGCAGGAGACAGGGGCAGAGAGTTGCTTCTTCATATTCTTGCCCGCGCTCGTTATGGGCAACTTTATGGTGCTCAACCTCTTCCTTGCCTTGCTGCTCAACAGCTTCAATAGTGAGGAACTTAAGAATAAGAAGGAGGTCAGTAATGATTATAAAAAGTAAAATTTGGTATTACAATTTTAAATACACTAGAACACACCGTAGCGTATTGGTTGCACACAACAGCAAAACATTAAACTTGTATGTACTATTATTAGTATAAAAATTATGATAAAATTTAATGTTTATAAAGTGGCCCAATATTTTAAAATATAATATTTATCATATTTTCACAACAACGTAGGAGACCTATCTATTTTAGAACCTCCTTCACAATATCTAAAGATCCTATCTGTGCGCCGTTTACGCGGGCGTACAGCGTAGGCGTTTGTCGGCGCCATTATCCATTCTTCATTAGTGCGGCGTCTGTACGACGCATGGGTACAATAACCACAACCCACACAGCCGATATTTCCAAGATAACACCTTCACAAAAGTATTCAAAAATAAACCTTATTTACTCTGAAACAAGGAAAGCTTAAAACAATCCCTATAGTACTACCTAATACTAAACCCATTGTGAACTTTCAGGAAGTTGGTGAAGATTCAAAATTAGCTAAAAGTTTCGATAGAATACGTTCTATAGTAAGAAAAAAAGGTTTCCTTATATCGAGAAGTAAAGAGACTGACAAAAAATCTAAGTTAGAAGAGCTAGTTAACGAATTTATGACACAACAACGCGCTATAAAGGAGAAGAAGGCGTCAATACCGAGTGAGCAGAGGTACTCAGCATCCATACAGGAGACCATCCTGTTCCCACACGACAATATTTATAGTCATAGTTATCAAGAAGCATTAAATAGGTACGTAAGATATTTAATCATGTAGACTCGTTTATAAAACTTATAGCTAATGTATTTCTGCTCAGTAAGACTTTAAGGTTACGAAAGTAAACTTTTAACTACTGAAATGAGCAAACATTTAGACAAAACACACTTTGTCGATTCTCTTAAAAGTTAGTTATACAAAGTAGAACTAAAACGACATATCCAACTCGTTTCACAAGTCAAGCAAGTTATCTAACTAAAGTAAAATATTTCAGGCCAATATCAGTGGGTTCCGACTTCGCGTACCCACATCTTTACCAAGCTACCAACAACTTTAACCACGGTAGTCAAGAAACTTTAAAAGACGTGCGTGACTTGGCGGCCGAACATAAAATCACTAGCATTAGGGAAGATTCCAAGGAAAATCTTGAAGATACATCGCCTACAGAACAAGTTGCTGTTCAAAGGTTATTGAACCAAGTATCCTCTGGCTATCACACGCAGCCATCTGATTCAAGAGGTAAGAATTAACTATGAACAAAGTTTTATAATTGATAGTAAAATATATGTCACGAAATAGTAACTTTTAAATTTAACTATAAAACAAATTCTAGATGAGAACGAACATTATGAAATGGCCCAGTTGTCGAGTAGAACAACGCCAGAAAAACCGAAGAGGCAACCCAGGGAACTACCACCATCGAACAACTTAAGTAAGGAACCAGTCAAAGGAAGCAATGAAGAAGACATGAAGCGTCCGTGGCAAACTTTAGTCTCATATGTAGATGAATTAACCGTAGGTGGGAGAAAAAACTCACAGGGTCAATATATTGATGCGATGGGAAACTTCCCCGGATTTGGGAAACAGAAAGAGCCGAAAGTACCCGAAAATTGTTTCCCTCGCCAATGTTACGATGCGTATGTATTCATTCAAGAATGTCTCGATGCTCATTGCCATATTCGCTTCCATTTCTATATTAGGAGTTTGGTAGTTAGTCAGGTCTTATAATTAACCAATTTTTCTAATAATCTCTTCTTCCTTTTGACATTGATCTTCATGCCCTTACGAGTTTTGTAATGTATCTATTGAAACCTTTTGCACTTCTAAAAACCTAATATTGCATCCAGTTGGTAATGTAACTATCATCAAGTAATGTATCTACATCTAACTTTATCGCTATGACCATTGCTTTCCAACATTAATCCTACTAACCCCATAAAATTCGGAACCAAGGAAACAATAAAAAAGGTTCCAGGGATGGGAATTAGAATTTCAACTCTCCGTACGTATTTACAATATCCAGAAGCCTAGGTAGGTAGAGGGTTATAGTAGATGCTTGTGATCCGAATGAATGCAAATACGCTGTCCTTTTAGGAGTACTTGTTGGGATGCATGTATTGAAACCAACTTGGGTCAGCGTTGGATGTTTCTCCGGACCTATATCCTGCGGTATGTAGACACTCCAGCCTTCGAGTGGTTCGTATTGGTGCTCATCTTTGCATCAAGCATCACGCTCTGCTTCGAAGACATTCACCTCGAGAAAAACAAACCGTTGAAGAAAATCCTATACTGGACCAACTTGGGGTTCTGTATGATCTTCATTATCGAGATGTTTCTCAAGTGGATTGCGTTGGGGTTCTTCAGATATTTCACCAGTTTCTGGACTCTATTAGATTTTACTATAGTATTTGTGAGTATTATTCCTTTCAAATGTAATACTTCGCTTTGAACTTCTTTTTAATGCTTGTATATCGCTTTCAGGTTTCAGTATTCAGTTTGTTAATAGAAGAAAATGAAAACTTAAAAGTGTTAAGATCGTTAAGAACTTTACGTGCGTTGAGGCCATTGCGAGCAATATCGCGCTGGCAGGGAATGCGTATCGTGGTGAACGCGTTAATGTATGCGATACCCAGTATCTTCAACGTATTGTTAGTGTGTTTAGTATTCTGGTTAATATTTTCTATCATGGGTGTTCAATTTTTTGGTGGAAAATTTTATAAGTGTGTCGATGATGAAGGCGAATTACTACCATTAGAGGCAAGTGAACATACAAACAATAAATAATTAATATTATTCTATACAGATTTTAAAGTTATTCGTCCGATTTCAGATAGTGAACGATAAATGGGAGTGTTATTATAATAACTTCACTTGGATCAATTCAAAAATATCGTTCGACCACGTGGGCATAGCCTACTTGGCATTATTTCAAGTTGCCACGTTCGAAGGCTGGATGGAAGTGATGGCCGATGCAGTCGACGCACGAGGTGTTGATTTGCAGCCAGCGAGAGAAGCTAACATCTACGCTTATATTTATTTTGTCATATTCATCGTATGCGGTTCATTCTTCACCCTTAATCTGTTCATAGGAGTAATTATAGATAACTTTAATATGCTCAAGAAGAAGGTAAGTGGTTTTACTAAACATTCGTCTAACACACGAGTTGTATCCAGTGTTAATGCTAAAATTTTAATTTCAGTACGAAGGCGGAGTTTTAGAAATGTTTCTTACTGAGAGTCAAAAGCATTACTATACAGCAATGAAGAAACTTGGTAGAAAAAAGCCCCAGAAAGTAATAAAGAGGCCAAGGAATCAGTTCTTAGCAATGTTCTACGATCTCTCAAATTCTAGAAGATTTGAGATCGCAATTTTCGTTTTAATATTCCTAAATATGCTCACTATGGGCATAGAACATTATGATCAACCGCATTCCGTTTTCTTTATATTAGAAGTTAGTAATGCGTTTTTCACAACTGTGTTTGGTTTAGGTATGACATTTACTTTATTATTAAAAACAGTGCCAAACCCCTTTTCGCCATCTTTAATCATTGAATCATCACATACTGCAAAACATCACTTGTCTATATTTAGCATTCTATCACAATAAATGTCCCCGTTTAAAAAAGGTTTAGCACTGTTACTATTTGCAGACATCTCCTTAGATCCCAAGCCTTCTAAATAATGTGTAAACTTTACAGAAGCGATAGTGAAAATAGTAGGTCTTCGGTATCATTATTTCACGGTACCATGGAACGTGTTCGACTTCCTGCTGGTGCTGGCGTCTATCCTGGGCATCTTGATGGAGGACATCATGATCGACCTTCCCATCTCGCCAACCTTGCTACGAGTCGTACGAGTGTTCAGGATAGGGAGAATTTTAAGACTGATTAAAGTTAGTACCTACTGCCATATATCAAGCATATACATACGCCGTAAATCATTTTTTTTTTCAAGCGTATTGTTCAAGTTGTCATATAGACAAGTTATTTTATCTATCTTCGTTCGAATTTTCCAGGCCGCTAAGGGCATTAGAAAACTACTGTTCGCGCTAGTAGTATCGCTGCCCGCGCTATTCAACATCGGCGCGTTACTAGCTCTCATCACCTTCATCTACGCCATCATCGGCATGTCCGTCTTTGGGCACGTCAAGGAGCAAGGAGCGCTCAACGACATCGTCAACTTTCAAACTTTTGGAAGAAGTATGCAGTTGCTTTTTCGGTAAGTTGGTTAAAGTCTTTCTTGTCTCCTGAAGCCAACTTTGAAACGTCCGTAATTTCATTTTTATCTAACTACTCTCTTCTCTCTACCTTCCAGTTTAATGACATCAGCCGGTTGGAACGACGTATTAGAATCACTTATGATCCAGCCTCCTGAATGCGAGTTAGGCGAACATCCCGGCCAGAATGGCAACTGTGGAAGCCCACTCCTGGCCATCACGTACTTCACTTCGTTCATCATCATTAGCTACATGATTGTCATCAACATGTACATCGCCATTATCCTCGAGAATTTCAATCAAGCGCATCAAGAGGAAGAGATTGGAATCGTTGAAGATGATTTGGAGATGTTCTATATTCGGTGGTCAAAGTAAGTCTATTAAACTTAACTAGAATACTAAAGTATCTACAAAAATCTTTGTTGCCCGACGCGTCGTAAACTTCCCTCAATAAATCTTGGCTACCTACTTACAATTAACCTGTTCGTAACCAATCGGCACCACTTAGAGTTATTAGAGCTATTTACCATTACGACAGTTCAGAACGGACACTTTAAACACAAATGACGTCGTAAAGAGAAGCTCGTAAATCTTGCAATCTGTCTTGATCCCCTGAGCTTCAGTTAAACACATTAAAAGTTACTCGAACAATTATTGCTTGGCATTAACCGCATAATCCGTACATACAGAATACATCAATTGTTCTTGTATTGTTCTATTCTAGCCATTTAGGTTCTGAATCCACTGTAATTAGACTAACAAGACCTAGTATTTAATTCATTACTAACTTTGTACCTAAAATAAACGTTTATCTTTCCAGATACGACCCACACGCAACTCAATTCATAAGTTTCGCTCAACTATCAGACTTTATAGCTTCCTTAGACCCTCCGCTAGGCATCTCGAAACCTAATACAGTGGCTTTAGTCAGTTTTAATCTGCCAATAGCTAAAGGCAATAAGATTCACTGTTTAGATATACTTCATGCCCTTGTCAAACATGTGTTGGGGCATGTCGAAGAGACTGATACGTTCAGACAGCTTCAAGAACAAATGGATATCAAGTTCAAGAAGCAGTTCCCTACGAGGAAAGAGCTGGAAATCGTTTCCTCGACGAGGATATGGAAGAGAGAGGACAAGGCAGCCCGGACTATCCAACGGGCGTGGAGAGATTACGTAAAGTAAGTTGAGGTTATGATCTAAGCAGCTCATATCATAAAATATTGTATCATTCTCCTTACAATTTTTATGAGTTTATGATACGCTTTAATCTTAGTTCCGGTGAGTAGGTAATGGCTTTAATTTAAAAATTCCAGACGAAAAAATCGCAGCCCATCACAAGAAGAAGAGAGTACAAAGTGGTCACCTGGCGGGGGTTGGGGCGGGCGGCTGAGTGCTCTGCTGCACGTGCGGCGCGGCTCGCACGCGTCCAGTCGCAAGTCGTCGCGAGCGTCCGACGCGTCCGACATCAGCGAGCTGGGGGGCGCCTGGCTCAACCTGCCGCTACTGCTGCTACCAGGGGCCGCGCCCGGGGAACAAGTCAGTATCAACCATCTAACACAACTACAACCAAACAAGACAACAATCAATCTTACACAATTGGGCATCCACATTTGTTTTATGAAAATAACATTGAATATAGGGATACAAAAAATTATATGCCTGTGTAGACAATCATTTTAAAGATTATTCTAGAGTAACTAGGTAAATTGGATTAGTCATTTGTTGAATTTATTCTATTTCTTATACTTATCTGTATGTAACTAGGTAGTTAAGCATATTTTCTTCCAAAAATAGTCAACGATATCTCTCTACAGCTTCTCTTCGCCACTTTTATAGTGCTTTCAGTAATTATCTACGCCATACGTAACGGTTGTAACCGGTGAGTGAGACGGTGATGCCAGTGCAGATATGGCGGTTCTCTTCTCTATTTTTAAAGCTAGTAATATTTGTCGTGGTACAGCCGAGTGGTTCTGAGTCAGCGCCGCCTCGAAGGCGCTCGGCCTACGGATTGCCAATCTTCCTGCGGCATCAGGACGCCATGGACGAAGAGACCGGCCCGAAACGAGCAGGTTCATATGTAATGTTTTGCTTTCCGTGTCTCTTCCTCAGTAGGTTTAGAGATAGATGCATTCGAATACCCTCTGTCCTGGCTGAGCAACGCGATGTGTTGCGGGAACACGTACGGTTCCGTACATAATTACAAATAATGTCTGCAGTTCCCGCCACAATGCGATGCTCAACAAAGACTTGGCTAGCACTGAGTGGTTAGTCACAAGTCTTACATTTTTCTTACTCTTCTCCTTTACTAAAGACTCGGAAAGTGTTCTTATGTTTAAATTATTTAGTAATTTTTAAGTAATTGTTTGTTTTCCATTTGTCTTGTGTGCCTGTCCTTTGGAAGTAATGTTTGTCTTGCCAAGACATAGCCAAAGCCAACCACTCGGTCGTTATATTCTTAGGTAACGAATTCATTTGATAAAGAACCTAAAAACTATCTACTAATTGAAGCATTAATTTTGACTTTAAAAATAAAATTCACAACATAAACATTGAAACAAGTTTACATGACACCTTATTTCTTAGTTTTTAGATGGCGTGTCTAACAAGCATACCTAAGAACAATGCCCGTTTTAAAGTAACAAGGATAGAGTGTGAGCTTTGCATGCTTTAGCAGTAGGTACCCCAGAGTTCTCGCTTCTGTAGCTATTTATATGTAAGTGAATGTTAGCATGGACATTGTAGTGTGTAAGTCTGAGTAGTTTGTTCCCTTTACAATTTTTCCTTCACTTTCAATGCTTCTCAGGAGTTCGTAAGTACAAATCTGTTATTATTTTAAGAAGTCTCATCTCTTATGGCAATAGTGACACACCTTGGGTCGCACTGATTTCACACTTCAGGATATAATGAACTATCAGTCAACATCATTGTTAGATGGCTACTTTAACCAAGCCTGACACGGTTATGCATAAGTCCTAACTTATGTTAATCTTTCACACCGTGCAGATTTACAAATACAATTTACTGCTACATACCAAATTGATTAAAGGGTGACACAATTTACGTCTAGTATCTGCTCTGTTTGAATTTAGGTATCAAGTTTAGCAACTAGATAGAGTGCTTTACCACTGCAATCGGGCACTACAAGCGAAGACACGACAGATAGAAATGATAGGATATGTAAGTAGTTTTGAGATGTGTTGGTACTATGTAGTGTTGTGTGCACAGGTTCCCTTCGGCTGAGCTCGCGGCGCAGCTCCATGCGTCGCGTGACACCGCCGGCGCGCGCGCGCACTCCGTCGCCACACGCCAACAGTGAGGTCAGCATCCTCGTGACGGAGGCGTCTCCTGACGCAGCTCCAGTGGCCACGTCTGCGCCCCCCGCGCCCCTCACCCCGACTGCGCCCCCCGCGCCCCCGCCCACACTGGTGCGTGTGCTGGTGCACCGAGAGTCGGACGAGCGCCCCAGCTGATCTCCGACTCCCGAGCTCGAGCCCCGAGCTCCTCCTCCGGACGTTCCCCCATCGAACGACCCCGATTGACTTTCCATCCGGCAGTGCTCCGGCGAAAATTGTGATTTTTAAATTTAATTAGCCCCGTTCGCGGATGTCATTATGGTGGATACGTTGAGATAGATGACCTCGTTTCTCTAAACCTAGTAAACTTTAGACACGAGAGATGTAATTTTGTTATTTACGGGTAGAATTTGAAATGCGCCCATTTATCTCAACAATTAATAATTAATAGATAGTTAATACAGTAATAACTTGAAACTTCCAGAGTCGTTACAATAAAGTTTTCATTAGTATCTCGTCGAATTCAATAAAGCTTTACGATACCGAACTGCGCTAGGACGCGCGCCACGCAAGTTGCATTACACGCCGGTAGGTAACATTCGTTTTTAGACGCTTTAATAGAGTAATGTTGCTGAATCCGATTTCTCTGGATCGTAGAAAGCTAGGATTAATTAACAGATTCATAACAATTACCTTATTCAATTATAGACGTAGAGAACCAAAAATGTGCCTAGAAAAATACGTATAAACACAATAATAATACATAGAAATCGGAAGTCTATACCAAAAATAATTAAAAATCGAATCTAAGCATAGCATGTTGTTAAGGTTTACTACTTTGAAATACTTACTTCAAACAATTTTGTGATATTTTTTAAATCATCAAAGTACGTATTAATCTATTTATCTTAACTTTAAGAGTTGTAGAGTTCGATTTTACTGTAGATGTTGCCTTATCCACCTTCTACGAACCAGAGTTCGGTAAGACAGCAGTTTGTTTTATTAAAATTATGAATTTAAGTAGTTCGCTATTTGAGACCAAGTGTGTCAAGTTTATATTGTGTTAATGTAAATAGTGTTGTATATGAGGAGAATGACTGATGTCACCGTGTCAATAGAATTGTAAAGAAGCCTATTAAATCAGTCTGTACAAAAGATAAGCATGAGCATGAAAGATAAGTGAATCAATATCAATAATATTGTTTCTATAAATAATACGAGGCAACATAATAGTACCTATGAAAATAAATGGGCCTAAAACACTACCCAGAGGAACACCGTTACAACCGCGCTTTTTTGTCATTTCTACCGTTGATTTAAGAGTAAAAGAATATAAATTCTGGTGTGATTTACTTTTCTGTTTGTCCAAAAATGCAATTGTTCTATATATTGCAATATCTAGGTATTCCTGTATTTGATTGACATAATCAAAAGCTTTAGAAGAACTTAAAAAACAATATTTGTACGGTATATTACTCTAACATGTCATGTTTCCTTTTGTATAGACTGCAAAAGGTGGTTGCAAAGACATCAAGAGTCAGTTTAGGCTTCTGAATTATTGACTACAGTTCAAATGCCATATTATTGTTGAAAATTATTAGAAATTAAGATAACATTTTTGCAAAATATTAGTTCTATGACCATTAAAATGGACGGCATATTGTTATGTATTATATTGTATAAGTATGTTGCCATATTATTTAAGGAAAATGTGCTTAACATATTTAATGTAATATTGGAAAACCCCTACATACCTACTTCCTAATTAATATGATGGCTCTAGACATAATGAAACATGTGTTAATAGATACATAGACATTTGAGCCAGTAAGAATTCAGAATGTTTGGAAAAGACTTTTAGAAACGATAACACCATGACCTTAAACTACATTAATTAATAGAAAAAATACAGAACGTATTCTTTCGATATCATGACCTTACAATACAAATCTAAACTTATTTCAAACATCTTAACGTTTTTATTATTAAAAAGTATCTTTTCAATGAAACATTATCTACCTACAGTAGATTTGACTGCCTTTCCTTTTATCATTAGACATTGTAGACAATTAAATTCAAGGTGTTCTATAGCTTTTGTTATAACAGGAATTACAAATCTAGACGTAGTTATTTCGCGCGGAGGCACGTCGCCGGGGCGAAACTCCGCTGCCGCGCCAGATAAGTGCGTGGCGGGATGAGCTCCGGCGCGATCTCATGGCGGAATGGCAGCAACGACTGTCGCAACCGAGGACTGGGCTCGCTGCCATCGCAGCGGTAAGTCCCCTCTTTGAGGAGTGGCTTGAGAGACGCTACGGCGTCCTCACCTACCGCCTGACGCAGGTCCTCACCGGACATGGCAGTTTCGGGAGGTACCTGTGTCTGATGGGGCGGGAGGAAACGCCCGGGTGTCATCACTGCGAGGACCGCCCTGAGGACACGGTGGAACACACGGTGGGAGAATGCCCTTCGTGGGCTGAGCTCCGCCGTGTCCTCAGGGAAGTGATCGGCGATGGCGACCTCTCGCGTCCGGGCCTAGTGCAGGTCATGATGCGGAGCGAGGGGGATTGGGATGCCGTCTCCTCCTTTTGCGAAGCAGTCATGCTAGCTAAGGAGGAGGCGGGACGCGTGAGGCAGCGAAGCGCTGCCTCCTCGCAACCCAGCCATCGCGAAGGACACACCGGGCGTCGGGGATCGCGGGACGATCTCCGGCCACCGTAAGCGCGGGCCTGCGGACGGCGAGCATGGGTGGCTCCCCGTCCGACCAGAAACAGACCCGAGCGTACGGCGTGTCGCGTTCCGCGCGCGCCTCAAAGAGCCATCAGACCACCACAGATGGGGTCCAATAGGGCCGATGCCGATTCGGAGTCGCGGAGAACCTAACGGGTAACCGGGGCTCCGGCTCGACGTGCAGGAGAAGGACGGGGTGGTTTTTAGTCAGTAAGAGTCTGACACTCCTCCCGCCTCACCCAGGCGGGGGCAGTCATTCGATGATTTTCCCCCCTTAAAAAAAAAAAAAAAAAAAAAAAAAAAAAGACGTAGTTATTTGTTTTTCAAAACACGTCGCCATTTTCTACGTCTTAATTCCTATTTGCTAGTCAATATGATCTCGCTAGAGCTTTAATCTTTGGCATGATAATTGTTAAGTTGGAGATTTTAATCGAAATAGGAAAAATAGAAACTGTCAGTCATTTTAATACGTTAGTTCAACTCTAACTGACATTATAATTACCTAGCAATGTTACTGATTAATATTCACTTTTAATTTCTACAAACAATTCTGGATTCATATTTACTCTTACATATTTCTGGTATTTTATCATACTTAGGAATGTTAAAGTTCCTAGTAGGTACTTTTGCAATAACTAAAAAATATTCCTCTTCATGCACAAATATGTGGCAAACGATGGCATACAGACAAACATGTACAAAATGGGCAAATATTCGCACAAATCTCAATAGATATAATTACGTAGTAAGTCTTGGAGTTACGTACGTTTAATGTATTTATTTATTGTTAGACGAGTTACGTTGGCTTTGTGATTTTTGTTTAGTTTGCAAAACGTTTTGTATGTTTTATTTTCTACTCGCCTTTTGTATAATCTTACTGTATTATTGTATTATTAATATCATCTTCAGGCGAAGTTATTAGTTAATTTAGCCCGTCCACATGTTCCTTTTGTTAATTGTTTTATAGTTGTAACATTAGCTTCTAATAATGTTAACGAGTTGCTAATATAGGCGCACCAAGTGCTTTCGAATTATATTTTAGCTGCATTTATGTACAATCGGCCCGAAAAGTGATCACTTTTTATTTGTTGGCGAATTAATTAGCGCCATATATCACTTTTGGAACCGATATTACAACTACGACGAGAATTTACTTAGGAGAATCATAAAACGTTCAATAAATAAAGATGTTGATGCGGTGGTTTTAAATAGTTCTAATAACTATAGAATTAGCTTTTTTTCTAAAAGAAAAGTTTAAAAAGAATTTTAAAATTTCTCTAGAAGTATACTTGAGCAGGTACATTTTTAATCCCCAAATATTTTCCAATTTAGCAAGGACCAAAACTTCTTTTTGTTCGAAAAAATTTTCCATTTACCTACTAATTATATTCTTGACCAACTTTTGAATTCATTTTTACTTAGAATTTTCGAGGCCTGTATCAGATTATGCTAGAGTGTAGATGCTGACACCTTGTAACATATTAGTATTTATACCACCTCGCTTTATGACAAGTTTTACACCATTTGCTTTAAACCCTTTGATATCTCAACAAGCCACACTCACAATTAAATATTTTCAATTCTAAAAGGAGGAAGCATGATAAAATTGTTCTAATAGAATAGATGATATTTCTCAATATTGTTCATTACTATGTACATAATGAAAGATGCAATAATTTTTCATAATTTTATCTATAGTTATATCTTGAAGAGGTTGTTAGTGGTTACTTTTAACTATAATTTATAATATGTACAATGTACATGTAAAACTATTGTAGTTAGTGAAATTGCAATGTTTAAAGCATGTGTTGGGCATGATTCAATTTGTGTAACATATGTTTAAATTGTATGATATGTAAATAAAAACTTTAAATGAGACCTGCGAAATATGATTTTCTTCCGAGGTACAAAATATAAATTAACCATGTTGAAAACTATGATTAAATGAAAATATAGACATGTTGTATTTTTATTTTTAAATACTTTACACCTACAATGAAGTTAAAATGCAAACCAAATAGGTTCACCCATAATCTGCCATCGTAGTTCAATTCTGCCATCTATAACATCCAAAATTTATTAAATAACATTCTAATCTTTCCGATAAAATTAAAAGGTTATTTCTTAAAAACCCTATACACTAATGATTAGCTCAGTCGTTTAATAGTTCTACCTAGAATGTATTTCGAGAGTTTTGAAATTTGGCAATTTTGTAGCTATCTCCGATTTCTATTTTGCACGCACGTACGTGCGCGTTTTAGAATATTTCTTATCCTGTGCATTTTAGGAGAAAAACGTTAACGTTTTTTAACGTTACTACAAAATTAAACTAACTACTCACAATTTCTTATAATTATTGTCTTTTTTGTAATATATAGTTTACTATCGTCTTATAAAGTAGTTATGGCACCAGAGCACAGTATTTATGAGCATACATACATTTTTATGAGCATTTTAGAAAAACATTCCTGGCAACCCCCATATTTCCACCTTAATCATCGAACTACATCACAGATTACACTGAAGATGCAGGAGCTTTATAATAAACACAGCTCGATTCAACAGCAACTATTTATTTAGGTTAACCAACATACAAAATGAAAAATAAATTTGAAATTAAATCATTATATTAAATAAGTTCACTAGTATAATAAGAAGTGTCTATGTAAAATAACCACAATTGGAAAAATGTACTAACATGATTACTTGGTGGAGACCCTGGTGCGGCGGTTCCATGAGAAATTAACTCCGTAGTTCTTAGGTTTGAATTGCTTCTTAACTTTAGGAACATCAAGGAACCAGTTCCATCCATTTTTCTCACAAAGTTCAATAGCTTCTTCTGGGCACTTGAATTGCACTTTCATGTTAGAAAGTGGATCTCCGGTGGATGTCCAGCCCATCAAGGGGTTTTCCCAGCGTTGACGGTTATCAAACTCCATCTCCCAGTGGTGAATGTTGTTGGTGCCGCTCTGCATAGCATTCTTGGGAGGTTGGTAGATTCTCACACGACGTGTATAAATGTGCTCCGCAGGAACTCCACTCACAGGTGTTAAATCCACCTGGAAATCATATCAAATTAAATTTATAAAATGCCTCAAATTGATGTTTGTAGGAAATGTAGAATCTAACATGATGATTAAGCAAGGTACGTAAAATTTCAACATTCACAATTGCAGAATAAAATTAGACCAAGAATGAACAATATGGCTAACATAATAACATAAACAAGAGCGATAGTTTCATACTGATGGATTTTAGATCATTGAAATTATATTAGTCCTTGAAATTATTAGCTTATTATTATTATTATTAATTTTATTTAAAAACACAGTATCTTATAATCTAAGCCCCACAAAAATGTTCTTATTTTAAACGGATATTTATACTGTTCATAAATCTTATATAAATTCTGCGTGATACTGGAGGATCCTGGGCATCAGAACATTTAATTGATACATTGCAAAGCACTAAACTACTCAAAATAAGTCTCTAATCTTTACCCATATTAGGATCTAATAAGCATTAAATAGCTGTTTTACAAAGACATTTCCAGATAATCTAAAGATATATATGTATCTGATTTGTCTAATTCTATTTCAATATAAAAAACAGTTAAGAAAATTACCTTTACAGGGACCTTTATGGTTGATTCCAAAAGATGTCTTTGACGTAATTCATCAGGGGTAGATGTGGCAACATCAGAGTCAATCATAGGCGCCTCATGGAGGCGCATGGGATCTTTACAATCGAGACGTGCTGATGTTGAGAATGCTGGCATGGACCTAGAAACATTGGCAGTTTTAGAATGGCATAACCATAACCCTCAACTCCCATTTCCTTAGAAAAGAATTATGACGCGAATGTTCGTTTGAAACACCTACCTGGACAGCGGAGTTTTAGATAAACTCGCTGCACGAGAAATCACTTGAAACATGTTATGTTTTTACGTAACAATCACAAAATGAAAAATTACGCTTCGATAAATGAACTTCAGAAGATTCTGTTTTGTCACTGTCAACAATTTATTTGCTGTCATTAATGACACTAATGCAATGACAGTATTAGTTTTTTTCTCGCTTTGAGACGTTTTAGTGTTGTAATGTCTATAACCCATAGATATATAACTATAACCTCATACCAATCTTGATGAAAATAAAACCCTCCTACAAAATAACGATTAGATTTTTATTAATTTCGTCATATTTTAATTTGTATTAGGCGTGAAATGATTTCATAATGATCTATCATCATCATTTTATGTTTGATTCATACAAGTGTGAAGCATCACATTAGTGACTGTCCGACGTCCGTGCGTATCCAACGTCCTGCCTTTTTGTCATTTCTGTGACAAGCAATGACAGAAAATTCTGTCTTTCTGTCAGTCACTGACTGACAGTCAGTCAATTGCTGTCAAAGCGTCAATAAGAATTTCACAAAATATCGCATAATTCTATTATTATATCGCTATTTCTAATAAAACTAGTTTATGCTCTTATAATATACTATAGCATATGTTTCTGTGTGATTTCTTCTTTTATTTAACGTAAAACATGGTGTGCAACATCTCTTTCACGTTCGCTATACTTCAAACAGCTGTTTTCTTGTAAAGGTAAATTGTAATCTAAATTATTGTAATAATTACATTGTTTTACGTTGTTTAATCCTCGTACTCCATATTTGTATATTATACTAATGTTATGAAATCGTATACTTGTTGCTAAGGCCGATCAGCCGTAACCGGTGTCACATAACATTCGATCTTGAAGAATGCGTATTTTTCACACAAAAATGTTTGTTACTACTGCTATTGGTACAAACAAATTTAGTTCCTTCTTTAACAATAAACAAACCTATCAAGTTTCATGCAATGTTTACTTGTACTTAGAATTTCATACTTTTCAAAATTATTATGAAACATCAAAAAGAACTTTAATCCTGTTCTTACTATCATATTATTTAAATTTACTACTAATTACGTTCACATTTAACATATCCGCGACTCTGATATTATCATAATAGTAATGCTGACTTGAAAATATTTAATAATTTCAATGTCTATTATCTCATAATCAACTATAGAAAATTATTATGAAACCTGATCTTGATGGTGGAAATGAGACCTTATAACTGAAGGCATTAATTTGAAAATCAGATTGCACCTAATATCCTTTTATGTTGATATGTGATACAGGAACCTAAGGGCATACACTCTTATGAACATAAAAAAATACAGTTTAAATTGAGAACCTCCTTTTTTTTGAAGTCGGAGCTAGCAAGTTGATAAATGGCAGATTGCAATAGCTTCATTTGCTGGCGATTGTACATATTTGCGCACCACATATTCTTCAAATAATAGTAGTTAAACAATGGCACAATAATGTGTGTAACAATATCACTCATACTCTATTGAAGAACTATCACTGACTGCTTATCAGAAATAACCATACAAGCATACTAGAAATAGAATTTATTATAACTACATTGTCTTACTAGAATCAACAATAATTACTACTAAATATAAGACACAATATTTCACAATCTTTATTTCATTCATTAGATTATCGACTTTATGTCAATACTATAAAGTTGAAAATGTAATAGAGGAAGACTGAAAAGGATATGTTGACTTGATGGCTACCATACTTATTTTATTACTGACTTACAGCTATAAAACAACAATGAAGTTACAAATACATACATACATACATACATAACTTCACGCCTGGCTCCCATGGGGGTAGGCAGAGACTAAGGAATGCCAATTACTACGATTCTTACATACCTCTTTCGCTTCATCAACAGTCATCAATCTTTTCATTCATGCTCGTCAGTTAAGGGTACTTTTAATTTGGCCCTTCTTTAATATATCGCCAATCTGGTCACTATATGTCCGTCTAGGGCGCCCTCTGCCGACGGCCCCATTCATATTACAGAAGTTACAAAATATATACAATAACAAGTTTTGTCAAATGTCATCGATGTTAATAATTGCGGACTATAATTCTGCAAATTACGACTTATTGTGACAAGATAATATTATTGCCATTATTTTACTATATTATTGTTCCAAATTGCTCCGGGAGATACTTCGTAGCTGAGTTCTATATTGTACCTGTGAATTGCTCATTGGCATTAATTGTGAAATCACTCACATATCTCCTAATTTATTTACAAGAATCTAGTCTATAACAATATCAATATATTATTCTGCTTTTACAGTACTAATAACTGTACAAAATGAGTAAGCATAAAGCGGAAGTAGATTGCACTGTACGCTGCAGATCTCGGACCCACGGACAGGCTCTAACCAGTGCAATAACAAAGAGATCTATCAGTGATCAAGCTCTGGCAAGCTTCATTAAAGCAACATGTGCTAACTTTAACAAGGCATTCGATTTTGAGGTGAGTTGATTAATGACTATATTAAATAAAAAATTAATGACTTATATGATGTTTCATGTAAATGTTCTATGCTCAAATAGGAATCTAATCACGTTTCTAACTTTATAAAATTTACTTACATATTTCAAAAAAGTCTATATGTAGCTTTAAAATTGCAGTATGAATATATGTATAGTGTGCAGTTTTCTCCTATTAACCAGTTGAAATATCTAAAATATCATCCCCTAAATATGTTCATACAAAAGTAGTCTCTAAACATCGGAAATAAGGTCTATAATGTAGTTAGTGGAGAGTGGTCACCTATACACGGATAGATTAGGACTGTTTAGGTAATAAGTTCATTATGTAAATAGTTTTAAATAAATAAACAATCATTATCTCCAACTCTAGGGTCGCACAGCACTCCACACAGCGGCGTCTTGCGGCCGCCTCGCCTTGATGGACTGGCTGATCCGCCACTCCTCCGTAGCATTCATCAACGCCCGCGACCGCGAATCCGGGTACACTCCACTACATCGCAGCGTGTTCTACGGACAGATACACGCAGCTGTTACTCTCATGAAAATAGGTTACTATCATCCTTACTTGTTTTTGTATCGTTTTCACTAAGTGTGATTCCTTAGGAAAATTTAGCCGAAGCTACGAGCGAAAAACTTGTTAGAAGTCAATGATTGCTTGGTAAAGTTATGATATATGATTATGGTTAAAAAAAAATCGAAATTGATTCCTGAATTGCCACAAGTATTTCTAATGAAAAGTGCCCACTCAGATGACTTCAGACCTCATATTTGAAGGACTAAATCCTTACTAATATTATAAATTGGAAAGTGAGTTTGTTCCACTTTCACGTCGTAACTACTAAACCGATTGCTTTGAATTTTTTCAGACGTAAAGTTAGAAGTCTGGATTAAATAATAGGGTACTTTTTATCCCGGAAAAAATGATATTCCCGAGGGAAAACAAAAGTATTGGTACATATGGCGCATTGTATATTGGTATATGTCATATAGGCTACTTTTATCCTTTTGTGACGCAAAAGAAGCCGCGGGTAAAAGCTAGTCTAAGATAAAAGAAACCAAATTAAACCTATTATTACCTCAAATAATGTCTCAAGTCTCACGACAAACATTTTAGATCAGTACGGACGGTCATCGGGAGATCGGGAGATCGGGCTTAAGATGTCCCAGTAGAATAAATACATAGGTACTTCAACTTTCTTCACAGATAAATATAACACTTAATTCCTTTCTAGGTGTAAACATGGATATAGTAGACAAAGATGACTACAAAGCCCTAGAACATTCGATGCTGGACCGCCAGTACATGTACAAACATGAAGGTAGTCAACCGAGTGAGGTATATGTATGGGGCAGCAACTGCAATTACACCCTCGGTACTGGTACACAGCAACAAAGAAACTCCCCCGAACTACTCACCAGTTTCAACAGAGCTAATACTTGCGTCAAACAGGTATGTTGGGAAGTTGTTTTTTATTTTTTTTTACTGAATTTTGTCCAAGTCTTGTAGATCCATGTCGTTTTACCTATTCTGTGAGAATATGAGTCTTACAGCTTCCTATTACGTTTTTTTTATGGCATAAGCCGGTAAACGAGCAGACGAATCACCTGATGGTAAGCAATCGGCGTCGCCCTTGGACACCTGGAACACTAGAGGCGTTACAAGTGCGTTACCGGCTTTTTGGGGATTAGGAGTTTGAGGATCGTTGGTGATTCAGGGATTGGGGAGATTGGGGAAAGGAAGGGTAATTGAGCCACCAGTAACCTCGTAGTAAGTCTAGAAATGTTTGAGCCTATGGTAATAAAGGGACTTAGACGTTGAAATAGTAATAGTAGTTTTAGATTTTTGGTCAGATGTGATAGCATTTTAACGAAATCATTATTTTCGAAGCTGTCCCACGCCTGCATAAGTTTAAATTCTCAAAAGCCTGGTCTAACGAAACATGCGTAGTATTATCTGTGCAACAGATAGCGTGTTATCCTAATTATAAAACATTATTTTCTTAATTAATCAATTAATTGCCATGGAAGTGATTAGAAGATCAAAGGGCTTAATACAAGTTTGTTTGTGTTTAAATTACCTAATCGAAACGAAACCGCATTCCGCGCTCTGATTGGCTGGCTCCAATGAAACCAACCAATCATACATCGCCGAATGCGATCTTGTTTATATTATTTTACTAACCCCTCTGACACAGTATTAATAGTTGCGTTATTACGAAATCTGTGATAATTTATTCAGAGTCAGTGTTATCACCTCGTAGTAGTTCTTAATTTATAGGTTCAAATACCTAACTGTCAACCTCCTTACACCCCATGAAATAATAAACATTTTGCATAAATCCAAGTGGCCTGCTACAATATCTGACAGCGTCACTAGTACTAAATGGCAGTTTTAGATATAACCTATACCTACATTTCAATTAATTTTGAGTAATCATTTTAGTTGACCGTATTAAGAACAAGATAATGCATTCAGTTGGGTTGCCCCGGACATGTCTCGGCTTTACAAATATCTTTTCCTTCATGTGTGGTCTGGTCGCGTTCATAATTTGCCTTTGGTGCGCCGTCAATACAGAATTCTTCCAGGATGTGAACTCTTCAGTGGCCAGTGTTTCCACGGTCAATTCTATCGCTAAATTCGTAAATTTGAAACTATGGCTGACCCCTCTAACGTCGGTGCTGATACCGATAGCCGCGCTCGCTATGATGACGTCATGCTGCGGAGTGCTGGGCGCTGGCTGCAGGGTGAAATGCGCCATGAAATCGTACATATTCCTCGTCAGTACAATGACATTCATCTCGTTTTGGATTTTCTTCATATCAGGAATTTATAACATTTACACTAAAAACGAGAGTACTCGAAAATACATGCAGACGTCTATAGAAAAATATTACGGAAAGGAAAACGATTTTATCACTTTCATATGGGACTATGTGATGATAAAACATGAGTGCTGCGGAGCTGTTAATTATAGAGACTTTATGATATCAAAGTGGCAGACCGCGAATCCTTCGAAAATGTACCCGATCCAGTGCTGCAAGCTGGCTAACGTGACCAGTCTGGAGCCGGTCTCGCCAAACTGCTCACTGATCCTCGACCCAGACATGTTGTCGCACAAGGACGTCGGCTGCTTCGAAGCGCTGCATTCAGCGATAGTCATGAATAAAGGGACAATTATATTCTATATCGTCTCGTTGGGATTGTTTTACATGGTTGTGATACTGTTTGCATACTGTATATTGCGAGGGGAGCCGCTATTGGGAGCGATGGCAGGTAGATTTACAGACTTGCTGCCGTCAAGGGCGGAGGAAGATACACGCAAAATGATTCCGGTGAACCAGGCTCGGAGTAAGATTGTATATGTGGAGGAGCAGCCGCAGCCGCAGCGGATGGTGAAGGTGGTGTCGGCCGTGAACCCCTTCCAGTCGTACTCGTTCGCGCCCAGCGCCTACAGCCGGCCCGAGGACTACCGAGCGCACACTGTACATAGCGTCAGGCGATAGATATATGTTCAATAAACACTTTGTTATATAATCTATATGGTTTTATTCTGTATTATTTAGTTTGGATAAAATAAATTACTTTATTTTAATGAACTAACGTGTTTGTAATTATGTTGCTACTTAGATAAAAATTTCATAGTAACAGCGGCCAGACGTAAGCTTTGGGATTGCGTTGCAATAAAATCTTACGTTGCGGCAGTTTGTTCATTTCCCTGCCATAAACGTAACAGTAGCATACACTCCTAAGAATCTATTATAATGAAGGCTTGCAAATATATAGTCAAGTTTCAGATTTAGTAAAAAATCTATATTCTATATCCAGAAGAATCTGTTTTATATGTATGACAATCTTTCCCAAGTTGTTGTCTTGATTGCACAGCTTGATCACGGGTAGATCAACTTTAGAATTGTATACTTAAACTTCATAGACACATATCTCCATTCCAGGTATGTCTAGGCAAGTTCCACAGCGTGTGGTTATCAGGGTCGGGCGAGGCGTGGTGTTGCGGCCAGCAGGCCCGCGCGGGCGGCCCGCACGCGACGTCGCTGCGCCCCACGCCGCTCAAACTAGCGGAGCCCTGCGTTGCCATCGCCATCACGCTAAATTCTACAATATTCCTCATGGAAAGTGGAACGGTATGTATATGTAACCTCCTTAAAAAAACGAAGAAGGTTTTGTTTGACTGAAGAAGGTTTAGTATGTATGTTTGTGTGCGAGTATCTCGTGATTGATTGAACCGATTTTCATGCAGTTTTTAGGAAAGGGTTTACACTTAGGAGAAGATTCTAGTACTTTAATTAACCAACTTCAAAAGGGAGTTGAAGTGGTTTTTTTAAACGTATGTTTTTTAAAATTATTGTAGGTGTACTTATTTATACGCCAAAATGAACGAAGATAAATCTACATTTTGCAACAAGCGTCTAGCTTCGTTGATTCGTGACAGAATAACGAATGTCTGCCAGTGAATTCTATGTTGACGTGGATGTAGATAAACAAAATTGACTTCGAATCGTGGGCTGAAGCGCCAACAAGCAAGCGAGTTAAAATGCGAAATCGTTTAGGCGTCTAAATGCGAGGAGGGTCTATAATAAGTTATTTTACTGATTATCGACTGCCTCGTTGGCCGCGTGGTCGCAAGTGTGACTATCGGGTAAGGGGTCTCGAGTTCGATTCCCGGAGTCCGGAATTGTGCCCGGTATATGGCAATAGGCTCACCCCATATTAACATAGGACTCATAACATAAATAGTGAAAAGTAGGTGTTAAATTGTACAGTGGCATTAAGTGCCATAATGTGCACCTCTACCTGCCCCTTCGGGGATAAAAGGCGTGATTTTTATGATTAACTTTAACGTCAAAATATCAGACTATTTCTAAATGGTTTATCAATGCTCTCTTCTCTAACAACCCATTGAAAATTAAACTCTATTACGTGACTTTTGCCTTCAAAATCCCACGCAATCTCCAGATTCTGCAATACGCGTTGAACAGTACGGACAACGTGAGCCAGTCCACGACGAAGGCCCCGTCGTGCATCAAGCTGTCGTCCGTGAAGCCGCTGCTGAAGCTGTCGGAGCCGCGCGGCGTGTGCGGGGCGCGCGCCCACGCCGTCGTGTGGAACGCGCGCGCCCTCTACTCCTGGGGACACAACTACGGACAACTCGGACACTCCAACGAAGACAAGTTTGTTCCTGCACCGAAACGGGTGAGTTCAAATTATACATTTTGACAATTGTTTAACACTCATCACTTTCTCTTGTGTCGTCAGTGGTGTTGATTACCGTTTTTTAGCATCAGATGGCGCTAATTAAGCGTGGAGTCTGTTTGTCTAATTATCTGGGAAAAATTTTACGATTCTCTTTTAAATAAATCAATCATTCAATCAATTTATTTATTTAGATAATACAATCCATATGGTTAGTAAAGACATATACAACTTTTAAAATAGATTAGTACATAAAACATCATCATAAAAAAATTAAAATAATTTGTCATAAATAATATAATAATACAATAAAACAATACAAATGACTTTCACTACTTCTGGGCACGGTTTGTAGGCAACACAAGGCCGTCAGTCCTATCCGCCACAGTCATCAAAAGACTGTTGGCGCTGCCCCGCACCCGCTGCACCAGGGAGGCGACACGCTTTCTTATGATTGCATAGAAATCATCTATGCGTGCATCAGCGAACATCTCCGATGTGCTACAGTGTCGAGGCAGCCTCAACAGTGCCCTGTACGCGTTAATATATTGGACTTGTAAGGCGCTGTAAGCCCTCTGCGTATAGTCGACCCATAGGCTGCAGTTATAAAAAGATTGACAATATGCCCTGAAAAGTGTAGCCTAAATAAATAGGACCTAACATTATATTAGCGCTATCTGGTGCTTTTTTTTTTTAAGGGGGGAAAATCATCGAATGACTGCTCCCGCCTGGGTGAGGCGGAAGGGAGTGTCAGACTCTTACTGATTAAAAACCACCCCGTTCCTTCTCCTGCACGTCGAGCCGGAGCCCCGGTTACTCGTTATGTTCTCCGCGACTCCGAATCGGCATCGGCCCTATTGGGCCCCATCTGTGGTGGTCTGATGGCTCTTTGAGGCGCGCGCGGAACGCGACGCGCCGTACGCTCGGGTCTGTTTCTGGTCGGACGGGGAGCCACCCATGCTCGCCGTCCGCAGGCCCGGCTATCTGGTGCTAGAAGAACAAAACTCGTTAAACTGTAAAATGGAAGCTATATTATAGAAAGTTACTTGTAATTTTATTAATGGTATCAATTGCATCTTTAGTTATTATAATAGTACATATTTCTATTCCCCACAGGTGGCCATATCAATGAACAATAAAGAAGAAGCCGGCATCCAGCTAGTGGATGTATCGGACGCGGCGACAGTAATCACCACCAGCCGTGGGGATGTCTACCTGCTTCACAAGTACATCTGCAAGAAGATCGCTATCAAGTGAGCACTATACTAAAGGAGAACGGCAGATTTTGTACCGCTTCGCTAAAAAAAGATTTGTCATTAAAAAATTGGGTCATTATAGAACCTCCTAAGTACGTTATGTTAGCATATTTAATAGATTTTTAAAACTTGGGAAACCCTAGAAAAACTGATATTCAATAATGATAAAAAGCAATCCACTATACGTAAAACGAACCGCGATTGACGTTTCCAAAGTTGCCATGCGTAAAGATGAAATCAGAGCATATTGAATTTCGCTATTTCATAAACTCATTTATTTTAATATCTATCAATGAAATATTTTCCTTTCCATTTCAAACATTTTTATAAGTAAATATAAAAATCTACATCCAATCTAAATCTACGTTTACATGGATTATTAATGATAATTAACATTTTAACAAACTTGAATAGTATGGCAATGTTGAACTGGCATTTGTCTTGATGACATTGACAATTAATTTGTCAATACTGGCGCATTGCTGTTTGTTTCAAATGCGATGTTATGATGTGTTTGTTGAATTTGAAGTTATTTTATTCATCTGGTGATACGTTGAGTTTGGCAACCGTTCCTCCGTAGCCCAAATTGGTATTATTGGCATCATTGTTGTGACAATTGCGAAAAGACACTTATTTACATTATTTTGTGCAGTGTGTTGTTATTTGTCGCGATGATGAATTTACAGTGTATTAATTGCATTCAGAGTTTGTCGCACATGAGACGGCATGCTCTAGAAAATGAGAGTGAAGATTAGACGTGGTCAACAATATCCCAATGTGGACTTATCCTAGAGATGTAAGTACCTAGTTTACCCATAACATATCGAAAGTCACCATGTTCCCTGAATAAAAGAAGGCGCATAGTGTTATCTACCCATAATGTATCATTTTATTCTTTTTATTCTAGATCTCTCCTACCGACCATATTTGCAATGCTTGCTGGCAATTAGCAATGTATCGGGATGTTGCTGAAAGTATGTCCAGCAAACAAATTGGTCACTGGCATGTTTGTGTCGTATATGGGTGATTCATTGCAATGATAAGGTGACGCAGGGTTTTAATTGAAGGCGCCAACAAACAGGAGTAAAGACTGGCTCATATAGTATTTGATTGGATTCAGCCACAAGAGGTAATAAAGCATAATTTAACCATACTATTATCTATATACAGTGTAATCTAAAGTCAATATCATATTCTAATAATATTACTTATTTTAGCTTACTTCCCATGATGAAGATCATGTTCCATACTGACTGAGAGACCGTACAAGAGTCGAAACTATAAAACCACAACCTGACATACCACCTCACAGTGTTCACTATCAGGAAGTAATGTATTATGTAAACATGGACTAAGCCTCACTTTAACATTGCCATTTGTAGAACAGATGAGGCCGGATGATGTTGTTCGGCTCTCAAAGCTTCAACAGGTATGCATTCTCAATATAATGTACCTACATAATTATGTATCTATGTGGAGTATATAAGCGGTTTCTAATAGGTTTATACTCATGTTATAATTATAATTTATTAATTAGCATGCTGTTTGAGCTCCTATGATCTGTGTTATACGAATAACTATAATAAATGTTATAAAATGAAGTAATGTAATCAAATATTTATTTTTATCTTTTCCATTTTAAGATAGGGAATCAGACTTATTATTATAACATATAAAACTAAAGGAAAAAAATGTACTTTTGTTTACTTTATTTACAGTTATCTTACTTGTTTACAGATATCAGCAATTGATGTCTGCTGTACCTATGACACGGCCTGTTCTCTTTTTAGATGAAGTACTCCTAGAAACAACCTGAATACAATGAAATAAAAGTATTTCAAAATAATACATTTGTTTTATTTTAACCTAGTAAGTAACTATATATTCCATCTTGATAAAAGTGATTTTAAGAATCAATCTATAAAATAAATGCCATATTTAATTTAGATAGCTTTAGTTTTATACCAAAAATGTTCATTTTCATTTTACATTTTCTTTAGTTGTAATGTGGTGGCCCAGAGGTTTAAGAAGCCCGCTTCTCATGCATGAGAGTGCGGGTTCGAAACCTACCAACGGCAAAGTACCTTTTGTCCAATGTGTCTTTTTTCCGAGTTATTGGTATATTCAATAATCTAAGAAAGTACAAAGACACCGCTGACGAATGGTGAAGGAAAACATTGTGAGGAAACATGGGCTTATAATTTCTTATTATAAGTTTGAATTACCAACCCACATTGAGCTAGTATGGTGATTAATGCTCAAACCTCCATGCGAGAAGAGGCTTCGGTCAGCAGTGGCCACTTATAGACTTAATGATGAAAATGTTGATGATTCTACTAATTTGACTTACTTATTAGAAATTAATCCTTACATGCGTGCTAAGCAACCAGTTTTCAGAAGAAATACTTTCTCAAAGAGCTAAGCTAAGTTTAAATCGAATTAACTTGAGACCCTTGAGACTATCTACCTGCAAGATTCAAGGTGAAGTGAGACATTAGTTTTATCATATCCGCCACAAGACTTCCACTGCTAAATGTAGGCCTTCTACCCAATGACAGTCGCTTACATTATGAATTTGCATTTTCGTAGGCACCTAAGAAATGAAAAAGATTGTGAGGCATACTCTTTAAAACTCTATAGGTGCATCATGCTTGCTGAATTAACAGGATCATTCCTAATTGCCTTTTGCGCTGCGACGCACCATAGGTTATTTTTTGGGTTTCTAAATTCTTGTTGTGTGTCGTAGCAAAATAAATGGTTTTTCTTTCTTTCTAATAATACAAAGTGTAATAGTCACTTGAGTAGCGAGCAGTATTTTTAGATTTTTGTTTTTTGTAAATAAACAACCACATGAGAGCACATTGACATTTTTCAGTTAACTGTCATCTGTCATTTGTAATAGATATTTTGCTTACGGTGGCTCTACACTTGACGTTGCGTATTTGTTGTGTTCGGCCAAAAAAGAACATGTTTGGAGGATTTATTCTTCTTTGTTTGCTATATATTTGCACGCCATTACATATAGAGATACTATTTGGACGCCATTTGTACGTAGTCTACAAATATTTGGACAAATGAAGCGACTACGCAATGTCAAGTGTGGTACCACCTTAACATACCTTTTGCACATTTTCAAAGTGAAATAACTTTTGAACCCCAAGTTCTAAAAATATGTAATTTTTTTCTAAACTTCATAATAAAAATATCTATCGTTCAGACTATTCACTTGGTTAAAACAATGACTATTACAAAATTTTATAGCGGTACAAAACTTCCATACAAACCTGCCATTCTCCTTTAGTATATAACTAACTACACTACCGACAAAAAGATTGGAAGCACCTCTAATTTTTGTTATAACAATACATAGTAAATCGATATAAGCGAATTTCATCTTTTTCGTAGTTTAATATACTATCATTACAAATTATTTTACGGTATTAAGATTAATCCTTGTGGTCTTTTCTTAGAGATATTGATAAAAATTACAATAACCTATTGATTTTTTTTTTAATGGAATTGGAGGCAAACGAGCAGACAGATCACCTGATGGTAAGCGATCAGCGCCGCCCATGGACACCCGCAACACCAGAAGAGTCACAGGTGCGTTGCCGGCCTTTTAAAAAGGAGTACGCTCTTTTCTTGAAGGTTTGAAGGTCGTATCGGTTCGGAAATACCGCCGACGACAGATCATTCCACAGTTTCGCTGTGCGAGGCAGGAAGCTACGTGAGAACCGCACAGTTGTGGCCTGCCGACCATCTATTTGATGGGGATGCATATGCTGTCGTGAGGGTCGATGGTGAGGTATGATGTAGATTTTTCCCTATTACTTTATTTAATTTGCTGAGTACCCTATAACCATTTATCACTCGTCATAGCTTATTGTAGGTAGTTAATAAAGACTGTCATCTCTGTTAAAAATAGTGATTAATTTTTTGCACACCGTCAAATTGTATTTTTTTCTGTACAACTACCTACAACTGAAAAAATAGTAATTTCCTTATTTTGTGGAGAAGAATGGGCAAAGGAAGACAATTACCTATTGAAACACGATCGGTTATTATTGTTTTAAAAAGTGAAGGGTATTCTGAAAGAGATTTTACAAAAAAACTAGGTATATCGCCTAAGGGAGTTTATTACACACTTGCCATACACCGGGAAACCGGCAGTTTATCGGATCGAAAACGGAGTGGAAGGCCAAAGACTACTTCTGCAGCAGAGGACAGGTTCATAATAACGACTTCAAAACGTAATCGTCGACTGACAGCACCGGATATCATTCGGGAGTTGAATAAAACGCGATCCAATAAAGTGTCAGTTTCTACAGTGAAGAATCGTCTTTCATCTGCTGGTCTGCGTGGTCGTGTAGCAGTAAAAAAACCATTATTACGGGCAATACATAAGAAAAAACGTCTGGAATGGGCAAAACAGCATGAACATTGGACAGTGGAACAGTGGAAAAGTGTATTATGGACGGACGAATCAAAATTTCAAATCTTTGGCTCTAATCGACGAGTGTTTGTGCGCCGCAGATCCCATGAACGAGTATCTGAAAGCTGCTTGGTGTTATCAGTAAAACACGGTGGTGGTAACGTTTTAGCCTGGAGGTGTTTTGCTGGACCAGTTGTCGGAGATCTTGTTAAAATTGATGGAATTATGAGGAAGGAGCAGTATTTGCAAATATTAAGAGATCATGCTTTGCCTTCAGGGATACGTATTGTGGGTGAACCATTCGTGTTTCAACAGGATAATGATCCCAAACACTCAGCTAGAATATGCAAAGCCTTTCTAGAAGAACAGGAGTCGAATGGTACGCTTGAACTGATGGTGTGGCCCCCGCAATCACCCGACCTATCGCCTATAGAAAAATTATGGGATGAGTTGGATCGAAAAGCCAAAGAACGTTTGCCACAGCGCACTAGAGAGTTGTGGCAATATCTACAGGAACCTTGGAAAGAAATTGGCACCGAATATTTGATTAAATTACTGGAGAGAATGCCTAAAATTTGCCAAGCTGTTATTAAGGCCAGGGGTAGTCATATTAACGAAAATCAATCATAAATTATGTTTGTGTTTAATAAAGAAAAAAGTGGTTTTATTTTGTAGTTTAATTGTTGATTTAATTAAATACCTAATTAGTACTGGTGAAATTGTATTAATTCCTATATTTTCCTTCAAAGATTAATAATATCTTAAGTGCTTCCAAACTTTTTGTCGGTAGTGTATATTTTCAATCACAAAATGTAGTAGTTCGATTCAAGAATTTTTAGGTTGTCAATATTCAATTTTTTAAATTCTACGTGTCTCGTAACCGGCTGCAGCGCAACGTGTTGCGGGTTCGAAGCCCGTACGGAACAGTTACACATCACGAATTTGTTGTTCTAGATGTGATGTTTATATAAATTTGTGTAAGCGCATCCACGACGCAGTAGAAAATTCGAATGTCACGAGTCACATTTAAAAAGATAATATTTTAACTCCTTCTACAAGACATACAATAAAAAAAACATAACATAGCATCACGCCTTTTATCAGTAGGCAGAGGTGCACATTACACCACTGTACAATGTAACACCCACTTTTCCCTATTTAGAGGTATGTTATGAGTCCCGTGTAATAGAACAATTCCAGACTCCGTGCTATTATTGAGAATTTTTAAAAACCCAGTAACACTTTGCCCGGCCCGGGAATCGAACCCGAGACCCCTTGCTAGGCAGTCACACTTGCGACCACTCGGCCAACGAGGCAGTCAATATACTTGTAAAATATCATTTCAGACAAATTAACCTGCGTCAAGTATGCGTAGAGGCGAAGGTGAACGACCAAGGCTCGTACTCCCGCGTCACAGTCCTGCTACTCACCAACGTGGGACAACTCTTCATATGGCAGGATACCACCAACAAACTTACTAGGTAAGCACTCATTCATCAACAGCATATAAATGCCCACTGCTGAGTAAAGCCTCTTCTCACACGGAGAGGGTTTGAGCATTAATCACCACGCTTGCTCAATGCGGGTTGACGATTACAAACTTATAATTAGAAATTATAAGCCCAGGTTTCCTCACGATGTTTTCCTTCACCGTTTGTCAGTGGTGTCTAAATAATCTTAGAAAGTACATATAACTCGGAAAAAGTCACATTGGTACTTGCCGTTGGTAGGTTTCGAACCCGCACCCTCATGCATGAGAAGCGGCTTAAACCTCTGAGCCACCACGACATTAAGCACTCATTAAGGTCCCCCTTTTCCGATCTTAGGGAACTTTACTCACTGTTCCCTAAACCATAATCCCTACGCTTGGCAAGCTGCTTGCGGATTGTAATTATAGTTGCTGCGATTTCTGCCAATTTTGGGGATGTTACTTCTCATCTCTCAGCGGTTGGTTGTGGTTTTAGACATACGACCCTTAATCACGATCTGTGATGTGATGGATTTGTCTTCACCGTTCCATTCATCCATTAAAAAGTCGATCAACTTATAAACATTAACAAATGTTTTTATATTAATTCTAGATGTGTCTTCGGCCTGGTCCACCAAACCATAATAACACACGTGGCACTCACACACGACGCCGTCTACTTCACTACTAAATACGGCGAAGCCTTCATTGGTACGATTTCCCGCAAAACCACGCCCACTCCAGCCCCGCAGCCAATCAAAAAAGAGAGAGAAAGGGACAACAAATCCCCGCTTGTGAAGTTTTTAGAAAAGGACGACTGTACGTCTGTTAGGATCTCGAAGATACCGAATATTTATAGAGCAGTGTCTATCGCTGTGGATAGCGAAGGACTTAACTTTGCTTGTTTACAGGTATTTTTCACTTTTTTATATCATTGTCTTGTTATACAATTAACATTTCTCTTAAAAAAGAAACTTTATCAATTAACTAAATAAGTGTTGATTTCCCCAAAAGGCTTGCATAATCCCAGAGAATTTGGGTCTATATTCTTTGTCAGTTTAAAAATTATTAGTTTAATACTAGTTACTGGTCACATAATGTAGTCGAAGATATATTACAAACATTGTGAAAATTGCAATAACAATAAAAAATATATTTTATATTTGCAGACAAAACCAACGTGCGGTCTCCGCTCGCTACCACAATTATCTCCAACCAGTATGTCCAAGCACATGGAATCTCTACGGGAATGCGCATCCGAAGATGATCTACTACACGATGTCATTTTCAAGGTAACTTATTATTTACTCTCGTTCATTCATAGTAAATATTCTATATTATGATATTTCTTTTTTGTTGTTCTATGTGTTTATGTGGTTCACATTAAAGTACTTATAAAGAAAATAAATTGATTAATAATTTCTTCTGTTGCGCAAAGTAGTGCATTTATGCGCAAAATTGCACATCTATGCGCAATTGCTTAACAATCGGAGGCCCAATTACCCTCCCCTTCCCCAATCTCCCCAATCCCTGAATCCCCAACGATCCTCAAACTCCTAATCCCGAAAAGGCCGGTAATGCAACGCCTTTGGTGTTCCAGGTGTCCATGGGCGACGCCGATTGCTTACAATTAGGTAATCCGTCAGCTCGTTTACCGGCTTATGCCATAAAAAAAGTCTCGTTTATTGGTTTTACTTAAATTTCTCAGTAGAAAACTGTAACATTTTTGTGTATAAGTTCCTCAACAAAATCACCATAAAACCATAATCTTGAAGACAAATCCCATATTCATTTAAACATAACCCAACTTTATTCCAGGTCGGCCAAAAATCTTACCCCGCACACATGTACATAATAGCATCTAGTAGCGAGCATTTATACAAATTGTACCAAGAGAAGCTTACCCAGACTAACCCAGGAGACAAACCAGAGGTCACCCTGGAGAATGTCCACCCTGAAGCCTTTGAAAGGGTGATGAAGTACATGTACACTGGCTCTTGTGATGTGGCTGAGTTAGGACCATGTGGACTGAAGATCACCAAGGAAGAGCTGGTAAAGAAGGATAAGGAAGCTGATGAAGAGTTGGAGGTGATCGGTGAGTGGTTCTTGTTGTTTGTAAGAGAAATTGAAACTTTGAAGTTATGGTTCAGAAGATAAAAACTGCTTAAAATTTCATGTATCACCTCTTTTGAAGAAAATCTGTTACTCAGAATCTGTGGTTCTATATGAGGGAAAAACTATACTCATTTTTATCACCTATGCGCAAAGATTTTTTAGGCTAGATTAACAAATTTTACCATATTTTTTTTTATTAACGCCAAATGCCAATGCTACAAAAATGTTTATTATATTAATTATTCAACAGAAAATCCATCAGAGATATCAGCTTTCGAAGTGTACAACAAACAGGGCGACAAGGCCAAGCGACCCCGCCCCCGTCGCAGCGCGGACACCCCGCCGCGCGCGCGCCCGTACTGCGACCCCGTCAAACTGGTGCAGGCCACCGCCAAGCGCCTGCAGGTCATGGCGCTGCATAAACTGCTGGATAAGTTCTAGTAAGTTTCCCTAATAGTTATCTACTATATAAAAATAAGTCGGGTTTTCTTTTCTGACGCTATAACTCCAGAACGCACGAACCGATTTCCACAGTTTTGCATTCGTTGGAAAGGTCTCGGGCTCCGTGAGATTTATAGCAAAGAATGTTACATAAAACGAAGCCATCTGGTGGGTGACGGAACGGAGTTCGCCGGGTTTGCTAGTTAACCTATACAAATGACATACTATACATTTTAAAATTGCAAAACCAATGCTTTTTGATTTTTTTAACCAGTACTCTAAAATTGAAATCCCAATAATTACGTTAACTCAATAAGTGTTGAATGTAGGTACACATATACATAATGTAAGTGTCTATTTTATGCTGAGAGTACACCTTAGTGGCGGCTGCACCTGCCTCCTAAGTTTATGGCCGTCGCAAATATACGGAGTTAACATCAAGACGTGCATCATTTCTCTCACTGTTTACCCAACTCACCTACATTATGTATTAACTTAACAATCCGATTTTACAAATCTAAAATCACGGACATGGAATGCAGAATGTATTGGCAACCATTTTTTGACAAAGGCCTTTACACCTAACCATTTCACAATAACTGATGATCTTGCATAAATTACCTAATTATTTTATTTTGCTCTCAGCTACAAGAACGGATCAATATGTCTAAAAGAAAGTGCGAGTAGCAATTACTCCCGGAATCCTGCTCCATGTTGGAATCGGGAGGCCTACCCTGAGCTGGTGGATACCCACGTAGTATGTAAAGACGGGGCCGCTATACCCGCGCACAAGTGCGTACTCGCTGCACGACTCGACTACTTCCAAGGGATGTTCATGCACTCCTGGACTGAGGTCGGTTTATTAACAATTACTTTTAATTCGATAAGATATTTGATATAAAGATAAAACAAGTGGTGTCTTACATGACCCTAACAAGTTATTTTTAGATGATCCTAAATGTCTTTAAAACAGTTGTTAATTATCTTATTTAGTAACTAAAACTACCCTAAAGATGCACTATATATCCAATATAATGACGTTGTTATTAATCATTATATGTTTCTTGAATGTTCTCATGTTTGCGCAAACAAGTGTATACTTGCGCAAAATTGCGCTAACTGAATTGTGATTATTTCAATGTTATTAAAACCTTTTTCATTATTTTACAGAGCAAGATGCTGTCAAAAGTAACTCTCCCAATAAATTACGGCATCTTACTGCCAGTCATCAACTTCTTATACACAGACTCCTGCCAAGAGATAGAAAACAGCGATAGTATCGACTTCATCTGCAACCTACTGATAGTCGCTGATCAGTTGTTTATTACGCGACTTAGAGAAATGTGTGAAATCGCTCTAGCAAATCTGATTAACTTGAAAAACTGCGCAGAACTCTGCCAGTTCGGACACACATACAACGCAACACAGCTGAAACAATGCTGCATGGAGTTCATCTCTCTAAACTTGAACAGTGTCCTAGAAAACAGAGCCTTAGACTTACTAGAAGACACTTTACTTGACGACATCACTCAGTATTATTGCAAGTTCAACCCCATAATGTCCTCCAGAGTCATCACTCCATTCTTCAACGCACCTTCAGATGAGGTAATAGAAGAATTCGCCAAAAACTACCCCGTCAACTTAGAACTAACAGACGAGGAATACAAAAAGGATGACAGTGTCATAGAAATTGTTAGCAATAAAAAGAAAAAAGGAAAGAAGATTGAATATACAGAGAGTGAAAAGGAGAGAATGAGGTACGAATCTGTGTGTGATACTTCCAAGGATATAACGCTGTCTTTGACCAAGATATCCAAGGATACAGAGAAAGGATCTAAAGATAAGCAGGAAAAATGGACCGAAGTGCCGTCTTCACAGCAGAAACAGCTGAAAATCGTCCAAGCCAGACTCAAAGCCATAAATGTTTATGCAGATATATTGAATGAAGCTCCCTCCGAATCTTTTACGAAACTCACCAAGAGTACTTCTTCAAGTGCCATGACAATAGAAAAGTTGCCGACATCGTCGCGAATGTCGGTCTCTCCTAAAGAATCCCCTACCTCTGAGCCTGCTTGGGGTACACAGGGTAACCTAGTTATAAGTCACGTGGGACCAAAATTATCTCAGAAACAGCGCAAAAAGTTAGCCATGCAAGGAAACGAAACAGCATCTCAAACAATTGATTTCTTTAATAAGGTAACTGTGGGTAGTCCACCTGATAAGCCGAAGAACCCATGGAAGATCTGTGAGCCACCGGTTGCTAGTAGCAGCCCCAAAACTAAAACCATAGAATTTAATAAGATATTAACAGACCAGAAGAAGCAAAAAGAGGATCACTCAAGAATCATGACCAAACCACTTCTTATGACACAGGTATAAATAAACTTTAATAATTTATTCTTGTAATATTGCCAAATCAGGTCCTACTCAACAAAATGATTACTCAGCTCACAGTACCTTTTGCTTTATTAACCTGTTACTTCTCTGTTGCAAATAAGTACTACTGGGTTTATAAAAACAACATAATTAGTAGCACAAATTCTGGAATTGTGCCCGGTATATGGCAATAGGCTATATGCTAAATAATTCTCAGTAGTAGTAGCAGCACGGAGTCTGGAATTGTGCACGGTATGGCAATAGGCTCACCCCCTATTACATGGGACTCATAACATAAATAGTGAAAAGTGGGTGTTACATTGTACAGTGGCATTAAGTGCCGAAATGTGCACCTCTGCCTACCCCTTCGAGGATAAAAGGCGTGAAATTATGTTATGTTCTCTGTAGCAAGTAACACCACCCAAAATCGTATATGTACATTCATGTATTTCTTCTTTTGCAGCTTGAAGACAAAGCTATAGAGCAATTGGAGAGATTCTACAACGTCCATGAGATTGATGACGAACTGATCACAGTGCGGCGCATTGAGCTGCAAGTGTCCTCTCCACAATGGCTGCACACTGCCCCTAAGTGATAACTGTGCTATTTTTACACCTTAATATTATATTTCCTATGACCTAAGATTGTAAATGTTTATTTTTACTAATACAATGAAATTATAACCATTTTCTGTTTATTTTTTGAAAACCTAATAAGAGTGTTCAAGTATTTTTATTGATGAGCAGGTAATTAAATCTAACAATCAATTTTCACTTATGTACCCCATGTAAGGGGAGAGCCTATTGCCAGCACAGTAAGGTATTTAATCCCTAATTGTGTGCCATGATGATCAGTCACTGATACAACATACTTTGTAACTCAATAATGGTGGGGTATGTCTACTGTTCCTTTCCATTTCGGAAATATTTTTTTATTTTTAATATTCATTGTAGATCACAGGTAATATATATATTGATAGCATATGTAATCATAAACTATATTTAGTTTGAGTATTGATTATGCTATCAATTTCGTCCTTTTTGTATTGAACGAAACATATGTATTTAAATAAAAGATTAAATTAAAATTTAAGGCATAGGTTACAAATCAATATATTTAAAAATGAAACCTATTTCCCGTTGTCATGCCATAACTTGAGAAAGGCTAGACCGATTTGGCAGTTTTTTTTATGTTTATTATTGTCAGGAGAAGGTTCTTATGACAAAAGTCCTGAAAATCCTACGGGAACGGGAGAAAACGGGATTGCGCATACGAAGTCGCGGGCAAAAGCTAGTAATGTATAAAGGGTGTAAACGGAATGCTCCCGTAATATATAGGGTTTAAACGGAATGCTGACGAAATGACATTGTTTTGTTTTATCGTGTTTATTTCCAAGTTATTCATGCAATTTCAGCCTTGAGCAGTTGATTACAACTATTATTATATGAAAGGCACATTTAAACTGTCAAACACCAAGCGGTCACCGGTGACCGCGACCTATTGTTCTTTAATTGTGTCTATAAAACCGGTACTCGACGAGTTAATTCCTTACTTTTATAAAAATAAAACTTGGTTGTGCACCATATTTGTGTCTCCTCAGGGAATAGTATGCTCAAAAAATTAACCTACTCTGTCCCGTAAAAACATAGATATAAAAAACAGAGAATATAATATTAACTATTTATTTCTAAATTATAATTTACAAATACAACCTATATTATTTCAAACTACTTTTTTGGAGGGAAGCTCTTCAGTAACTGGTTTAGTTGTCTATGCGTCAGTTTCTTCTCTCCTGGGACGAGGATACCTTTCTTTCCTTGTTCTCTCTGGGTGGTCACTCTATCATTATATTCTTTGTAACATCCTTGGAAAGCAGCAACCTCCTTTAAGCACTCAGTTTGATCGAAATCTGCTTTCTTGAAGCATGCAAACATAACAGCCATTTCTTGCATACAAGCTGCTTCTTTGAGCTTGTCTCCTTTGCCAGAAACCGTCTTTTTAAGTTGCAATGGCAACAACAATTTGAATGGAATCGGCTCTCTTTGAGGGCTCCTCGCACCACTCTTCGGAGGTCCGGCAAATAGTAATGGATGGAGCCTCATTGTTAGTAATAGAACTATTTACAAACTAATAAATACCAAATTCTTGAACCTGATTTGTTCGCTATTCACTAAAAATAAAATAATTGGAGGTTATAAAATTTGTATTCCATCCCAAAAATTGACTGATACATTTTCGAACACACTTCACAGGAGTGAAAAAGATAGCAATACCAAAATTTTCGTTAAGTGGTTAGAGATGGTCATATTGTCACATGCTAAAAACGATGAAAGAACTTGTTGACTTTGACACTTGACAGTGACGTATAACATAAGACTTCAAGGTAATCGTTCTGAAATTACATAACTTTATATTTAAAAAACGTACACATCGATGTTTTATAGTAATAAATAGACCTTCAATAATTCGATTTATTTGGAAAATATAAAAATCATATGACATCTCTTATTCCCTGAAATGTTAGGCAGAAATGCTGATATATTATATGTGACTATAAGTGCTACTAAACGCAGCTCTAACTATCGACCTACCCATTTATCAGTTGTGATATTATGATGATTGTAAACCATGTATGTAATAGATGGCGAACCTACTTAGTTGGTATAGTTCTAGATACTTCTTTTTCGTCATTTCAATCAGATGAATATTCTTCAAAGACTTTTTTAGAAAACTAAAATCTTTAAATTTTTGATCTTTCAACGTTTACATGAGATTTTGAATGACTTTTAACAGGACGGGCGGGCCGAACTGAACATGTATGAATGAATAGGATTAGCCTCAAAAAGCTTTACATAGAGAGGAGTGAAAGAAGGGTAAGGACTTAGGGAAGCCTTTACCCTGTAGCGCGACGACCATGGCTGAAAATAAAATAATGGTGATCCCAGTTAGACACATCCACATTCCAGGGTGACACGGAGAACCGCAACCGAGTTCACTACGATCTTTCAAATTGAAAGTTACAATATAGACTAACAGGGATTTCCTGCATCTAACCGTCTTTGGGCATGTGCACCTGATTACGTAGGTACCTAATAATTAGCACCAAGCTCTTATTAAAAGATACCAGTGGTAGATAATCCTTATAATTGGGTACTTAGTAGGCACTTAATTGTAGATTGTAGATATCAACGTCTTATGAAAATTATGTTTTGAATTGACAATTTATCGTTCTAATTTCTTGACTACTCTAATGTTTAATGTAAGACTGAATTTTCAAAGAAACTCCCTAAAACGTCTTTTAATTATTAAAGAGTTTCTACGGATAGGGAAAAAACAGTTTTTTATGTGGATACGTGTAATCCACATAAAAAACTATTTTTTCCTGTCCATGCTTTCGTACGCACTCTTCAAGAAAGAATAAGAATAAGAACGTTTATTTGCACGAAGTATGGTAATTACAGAAACTAAACTTCTTGTTACTTTTTATTATTTGTAAAGATTTAACGGCTAAATTAGTGAACACATTATTGATTAAAGTTACGGACAAAAACAGCCCTAGGTACTATAGGTACCTAAGTGCAACAGTAGATAGGACATTAATGTTATGCCTTATTTATACACCATCATAACAAAGCGTTAATTTTTTTTTATAATTATAAACTACATTTAAAAAGAACCGACCTCAACCCCCATCTTTTTAAGTTCGATTTTTTAATATTAAGTTACTAAACCTTCTCCTATAGGTCTATATCTAACCGGATCAAAATCGGGTCAGCCAGACAGCCAATCGTGAGATAAACGCGCACAAACATACATATATATATATATATATACATATATAAATATATATACCCGCGGCTTCTCACGCGTCACAAAAGTATAAAAAGTAGCCTATGTGACATAAACCAATACACACAGCGCCATCTATACCAATACTTTTGTTTTTCCTCGGGAATATCAATTTTTTCCCGGTTAAAAAGTATCTACCCTATTATTTAATCCGGACTTTTAACTTTACGTCTGCAAAAATTCAAAGCAATCGGTTTAGTAGTTACGGCGTGAAAGTGAAACAAACAAACAAACTCACTTTCCGATTTATAATATTAGTAAGGATAAGGATACAGGCTGAACCTGAGAACCTAGGTAGGTAGGCAGGTAATAATAACAGTTAATAAGTACGCAATAAGTAGGTACCTACCTGTTAGAACGTGCAAAATATAAAAATTTACTAGTTTCTAAGCCACATCATAAATAGCTACCACGGCTTGCCGCGCACACGATAATCGAATACCAAATGTACCTTAATACCAGCATTAAAAGATATCTTGATCTGGCAATAAGGAACGTTGTAAATAAAAAGTATTTATATTGATAAATTTTATCTTGCAATTTGTTGTTATTAGGGACATATAAAATTGAACTGTCTTATTTGTGACCACATAAAATGTGATAATCATTGCGATATAAAGTATGAAACCCTTAGGTATTTACTAAGGGAATGTACCTTGATAAGTTTATCTAATAGTACCTACTCGTAATTAAGCATGATTAAACGTTTTTCCTAAACTTACCTAAGCGTGCTACCTCACATCACGGGAGCATTCACGTGTAATGTACCTAACATTATAGATTCGACTTTAAGCATTACATTACAATAATACCTCCCTGACTAACGCGCATTTGCGTGTAATGTAACATATAGATTCGACTTTGAGCATTTCATAGCAAGATGTCAGACATTGATATTACAAGTTGTATCAAGATAATACACTGTGTATCATTACAAGGTGCGCATTGTAATGCTCGGTTCTCCTCCTTCACTGATGTAATGCTCAGACCTGTAACGTTACATTACACGCGAATGCTCCCAGTGGGGAGCACCTTAAAGAAAACTGCGAAAAAATCCTCTCAGATTGTCAGTCGCTTCTCTCTTGAACAAAGGAATTGGTACAAAAATAACACCTATGTTTGACGAGTGGTTTGTAGATGGAACATTGCTGTCCATCTTCAGGGTGCACAAAGATCCAGTTATGTACTTAGTTAGACTTCCTAAAATGAGGACTTTCGCACCACTAGATGCGCAAGTGCATCAGTTTTCTGTACCATGTTGTAGAAAACTGAACTATCGGGAGTACCTAATAAATCTCTATTCTATCACCACGACGGGTTTTTAATCCTTAAGGGGAGTCAGAGCAGAGGTGCATAATACGCAGATACATAAAAACACCTAAGTACATTTTACCGATTAGGTATGTTATGAGTCCCATGTAGTAGGTACCTAGACAAGAAGTAAGAAAGACATATTTATACCACTAGGTATAAGTAATACATTATTCCGTGATTGTAATCTGCTTCATATAGTTAATTGTTTGCCTCAATTGGACTATCTCATCGCAAACAATATCGATACTATTCTTTTGATCGTTAAGCCACCTGTCTTGCAAGACAACTAAAAAGTGATTGATTTAAGTAATTGTGTTATAAATAACGAATATAAAAAGTCTTTGAATAGCTCACAATCTTAAATGATAAGTTGCATTTTTGCTTAAGTTCATTGATAAAGGACCATATAAAATGCCCGCAAACATTAAAAATAACATAATCGCACCCAGTGCTGACAGAAAAGTAAGTAACTTTGTCTTTGGAGAACTAATTGATAATTATTTTATTTTTTAATTATTGCTATGTGACTTCTCTAATTATTGAAATACTATTTATGAATCTAACAAAAACGTTATCTAGAAGATGCTCTTCAAAGATTTTTTTATCTTTGTTGGGGCGACGTTTGACCACTATCTGGCCTGGTGATAATCGATGATGCGATCTACGATGGATGAATTGCTAAACACAGACTTTTAATCCTTTGGGTGGGTTCCAATAATAATTTCTCAATGATTGTATGTTTTCAGATCTACAAAGATGAAATTCTTCGCAGCCATCGTTCTTGTCGCCGCTGTGGCTTCAGCCACCCCCGTGGAGCGCCCCAGCGCCTCCGCAATTTTAGAACACCTCGCCGAGGCCATCGCTGCCCTAAAACCTGAACCTGTTGCTGTGGGACCCGCCATAGTAGGTGCTGACTTGTCACCCATCGCCATCGGACCCGCCATCATTGAGAGCCCAGAGCCCGTTGCCATTGGACCTGCCTGGGTTGAATCCCCCGAGCCCATCGCCATTGGACCCGCCATTATTGACGGACCAGAGCCTGTTGCTGTCGGACCCGCATGGATTGACTTCCCCCTGCCCGACGGTGGTGCTGCCTCTGCTCCCGTTGCGCCCTCTCCCGTGCCTGTCATCCCCGGCCCCGTGTCCTCTGAGATTGCTTCTGGTTCTCCTCTTGTTCAGATCATCCTGAACATCAACCACGCTTCCGCCGTGCCTGAGCCCGTCGCTGTTGGTCCCGCCGTTGTTCCCGCCGTTATTCCTGAGCCTGTCCACGTTGTGGACGTCGCCCCTGAGCCCGTACATGTTGTAGAGGTCGCCCCTGAGCCCGTGCAGGTCGTGGAGGTCGCCCCTCCCATTCCTCCCATCGCCGTGAACCCCATCGGTGTCGTCGCTCCCGAGCAGGTTGAGCCTGTCGTATCGGCGTGCCTGTCTTACCCCAGCCTATACTTAACTAAATATTGTCATCGTTTATCCGATCTCACCGAAACATTTTTCTACTGGTTTAAATAAAATATACTCAGATATACATGCAAACATAAAATGTTTTATTTTATATTATGTTCCTAAACATAGGTAAGTTTATAAGTACCTAATTATCTTTTCTTTTTCAATTTTCATTCAAGTCGACCAAAGTCAGATAATTAGTAAAATTCACTTTCAATTCGTGCCGAATCTAAATAATGACTGCTTCGTTGGCTGAGTGGTCGCAAGCGCGATTGCCGGCCAAGGGGCCTCGGGTTCGATTTTCGACCTTTTCGGCCGAATTCGGCCCGGGTCGGGCAAAATTCTCCTGGGTTTTTAAAAAAAAATCTTAGTAGTAGCACGGGGTCTGGAATTGTGCCCGGTATATGGCAATTGGCTCACCCCGTATTACTTGGCAATGGCATGGGACTCATAATATAAATAGTGAAAAGTGGGTGTTACATTGTACAGTGGCATTAAGTGCTGTAATGTGCACCTCTGCCTACCTTACCTTACCTACCTTCGGGGATAAAAGGCGTGATGTTACGTTAATTTGTCTAAAAAATATTATCATGTCAGTCTATGGGTGTAGGTACATCAATCAGTTGTAACAATCACGTAACGAACAGTGAAAAGTCCAATTAAATAATATTTTAAGTAAGAATGGAACTTTATATTTCTATGAGTTGCATCAATGCATCCAATCCTTTCTCCTTCGAAAACATATCTTATTTTATTTCTGTGGCTAACTATATTGCAACTTTTATAAAATGAGAATTTGAAAGGCGTGTAATATCATTTAAAATTAGTCAAAAGTCCATACCATATAAACTCGACACCCCGTACAAGTAATGTGCAGACCCGTAGCTATTATTATTATTAGCCGCGCCCGCTTCTCACGCAAGGTTGCAGGGTCGAAACCTATCAACGGCAAGTATCAATGTGACTTTTTCCGAGTTATATGTAGGTACTTTCTAAGATTATTTAGACACCAACGGTGAAGGAAAACATAGTAAGTTAACTTGGGCTTATAATGTCTAATTATAAGTTTGAAATCGCCAACTCACATTGAGCAAGCGTGGTGATTAATGCTCAAACCTTCTCCATGTGAGAAGAGGCTTTGTTCAGCTGTGGACATTTATAGACTGTTGGTGATGATGATGTGGTTATTAAACCACTAATCAGATTGTGAAGGACACATCGCTTAGTTAGGACTTAGTACCAACCCTCAAAATAGGCTGTAAGCAAGAAAAGGAAAATGAAGACAAAGTAAAATCCTGATCACTGAAGTTTAATTATCTTTTTATACTATTTTGCTACACAAAATCATAATAAACAAAACATTTAATACGCAAGTAGATAAATGAATTCAATAGTTTCCTCGTACAATAAGCACAATCTTGTATTTAGTCATTAGATAAGTTTCTATTGTATACAGATTAGTAGATAAACTTCAATATAAAATGTTCGCGAAAATTAACATTAGCATAGTCTTGTTACAAGCAGACCATAAGTAAGTATTGGTACCACGGTACTACATCAGTCAAATTGTAAGAAAAATTGGTTTAAAAATTCGTTGCTAACGAATCCATTAAAATATTTTCAGATAAATCAACATGAAATACTTCATCGCCATCGCTCTGCTCGCCGCCGTGGCTTCGGCCGGTATGATCAAGCCCACCCAAGTGGGTGCTGAGCTCGCCGAGCTCCAGGAGATCGTCGCCGCCATCAACAGCCCCAGCACCGACCCCGCCACCGCCGCCGCCCTCGAACAGATGCTCCTCGATGCTCTAGGCATCAAGCCCGAGCCCGTTGATGTTGGACCCGCCATCATTGAAGCCGACTCCCACCCCATCTCTGTTGGACCCGCCATCATCGACTTCCCTCTTCCCGACGGTGGTGTTGTCGCTGAGGAGCCCATTGTCCCTAGCCCCGTTATTGTCGCTCCCGCTCCCGTCGCTGAGGTCGCTCCCGTAGCTGCTGCCAGCACTCCCCTGGTCCAGATCATCCTGAACATCAACCAGGCCTCCGCTGAGGCTAGCCCCATCGCCGTTGGCCCCGCTGTCGCCCCCGAAGCCATCGTGCCTGAACCCGTCCACGTTGTGGATGTCGCCCCTGAACCCGTCCACGTCGTCGAAGTCGCCCCTGAACCCGTCCAGGTTATCGAGGTCGCCCCCGAGCCCGTCCAGGTCGTCGAAGCCGCCCCTGTACCCGTTGAGCCCGTCGTCATCGGAGTCCCCATCCTCCCTGAAGCCGTCGTGGCCCTCCCCGAAGCTCTGAACTAAGAATAATAATGAAGTCAATTTAATTTTAAGTACACGTAAAGACATGACAATAAAACATCCGTTGCATCCATCATAAATATTACTTTTTCTTCTTAAAATTTACCTATCGAATTTATGACTTAATGGGAAAGAAAGACAATAACAATCAAGCTAGACTTGTGTCGACACGGGTAGACAATATTTTTGCACATTATAATTTTTGTATGTTATTTATGTGTATCAGTCGCAGATACTACTGCTACTACCTATACAACTACATATAAACTATGAAAGATAGTTAATATAGATAAGTATAAAAAGTCCACTGCTTTGAACTGCAGAGGAGTTGTCAAATACCGCAATAGGTGCAAAGTTTACTTTCAGTGTATAATATTGGTTAATATGCTGATGACAGCTGGTATGTTCGGTGATAATGGGTTCTCCATTAATGTAGCTTGCGAGCCAAGTTACTGTCTTGGTAAAAATTCCTAAGTAAGTTGTACTTTTTAAGGTGTCCCACCAGAGAGTAATCATAGCGACTCCCAAAGTGGGGATGCACATGAAAGTTTACTGTTAGAATGAGGGCTTCTTATTCGTAAGAGGTTAAAAGGGTTAGCCAAATTTCCACGCTTAGCGGTTGGGTTCCAGTTTCAAAGGTTTTTCCAAAACTGATTCAATCCTAAGAGTTTTAGACCCGGCGCCCACTGTCGGCATCGGCAAGGAAAGGATCCTTCAGCATCTTACATGCAAGCACACACTGTCGGAAACTATGCTTTAGTATGGTGGAACGTTCTTAGGGATGACGAGGCGTCCCTAAGTATGGCGCACCATCCTGAAGTATGCGTCGTCGTCTCAATATCGTATTTCTCGTCATAACAGTCTCAGAGTTGTTACAAGGTAGTTGTCTGAGTTGATTTTAATATGGAAATGTCGTAGCTCTGTCGGTGCAGTCTTCTGTTTTATTTTAAATTAAAACAGAAGACTGCACCAGTAGGTTCAATTGCAAATCAGAATCAAGACCGGCGCGCAACGACACAAAGAAATGCTCGAAAGCTTTGGCGTGAGTTAGCGGGTGTGCGGATAAAGAAGCGCGGCGCTCGCGCAGCCGTGGGTTTTTATACTCCCATCCCGCGCGTCGCCGCCTCTATGGTCGATGACCATAATACTAATGCACCGACCTTAAAATGGGATCTAGTGCTCAAACTCTTGCTAAAGAAGAAGAGAAATCTAATCAATCAAGCCGGCGGCCGGAGGATGCCGAAGCATCCCGAAGCATCCTGAAGGATTCTCAAGGCTGCCGATACAGCAGCCTCACTCGTACCGAAGCGGTATTTTTGTTATTACGACCATATTCACGGCAATTTCTATTTCATAGGTATTATGTTAATGTATATTGCTATTTGCTACCTAAAATCCTCAGACGTGCCGATGCGCCCGATGCCGATAGTGGGCGCCGGGCCTTAGACTAAAACCTCATTCCATGAAAGGAAAGACGAATATCAGAGATTACTTGCAATTTCACAAACCCAGTTTTAGTAACATAGCATCTCAAGTAATCCATTAAAAAGTTTTTTTTATAAAGAGGGTCTGTTTATACCGCACTGAACTGATTCGACTAAGCAACAATACATCTATAAGGAATTCACTACAAGATATGTTCTAAAAGGAATTGACTGCACGGGTGGTGCAGAGGCTGGGCAACCGGCTGCCGTGCAACGTGTCGCGGGTTCGATTCCCGCACGGAACAACACTTTGTGTGATCCACAAATTGTTGTTTCGGGTCTGGATGTCATTGTGTATGTGAACTTGTATGTTTGTAAACGCACCCACGACACAGGAGAAAATCCTAATGTGGGAAACGTTTAAAAAAAATGTAACAGTTAAATTTCTGGGCGTTAGTTAATACTTTTTTCTAAGTGTTATTAATATATCTACCTGGGATGGGTTGTATGAGTTTCCACAAGAAACAACAGTTAATTGAACCATAACATACGTCTTGTGCATAGAGAATGTTTTTTTATATTTATATTTGAGATGACGAATGATGTGATGATGATGATGATGATGATGACATCAGACATTGATAAAGATGATGATGGCCTTCTATATAGTACCAACACCCATAAGTGAAAGTAAGTGGTGGATACAGCGAAACACAAAGGATAATAATAGGATTAATTTACAAATGGAATCTTGATGAAGTATTTTTATCATTTATGCTTGGATTTCATTGCAATAGATTGACTGCCTCGTTAGTCGAGTGGTCGCAAGAGCGTGCCGGGCAAGGGATCTCGGGTTCAATTTTAGGGTCGGGCAAAGTATTACTGGGTTTTTAAAAATCTCAGTAGTAACACGGAGTCTGGAAATGTGCCCGGTATATGGCAATAGGCTCACCCCCTATTACATGGGACTTATAACATAAATAGTGAGAAGTGGGTGTTACATTGTACAGTAGCATTAAATGCCGTAATGTGCACCTCTGAATACCCCTTCGGGGATATAAAGGCGTGATATTATATTATGTTCATTGCAATATGTTTCGTAAATAGACAGTGGTCTCAGTATATTGATAGTCTATAGACATTGGCGTGCTATTGTACATCTAGGCCTTTTTTGAAAAAAATATCATCCAATGCGTTCTCCCGCTCGGGTGAGGCGAGAGGGAGTATCAGATTCTTACCACTAAAAACCACCTCGTTCTTACTCCTACTCTTCGAGCTAGAGCCTCAGCGTCGTTAGGTCCTCCCCGGCTTCATATCGGCATCAGCCCCACAGATGGGGATC